ATTTTAAAGGATTTAGATTTACTATTTTGTACATATGACTTTTTCTTGCACCTATGTATGTATGCATGCATGCATGTATGCATATATACCATGTGTTTGCCTGGTACTCTAAGAGGTTGGAGGAGGACATCGGATCCCCTGGGATTGGAGTTACAGAGAGTTGTGAACCATCATGTGAATCCTCTACAAGAACAAGAGCTCTTACCTTCGGAGCCATCTCTCCAGACCCTAAAATGTTAGTAATTTTAAAAACAGACGTAAGCCAAGCAGTGGTGGCGCTCAACCTTTAATCCCAGCACTTGGGAGGCAGAGGCAGGTGGATCTCTGTGAGTTCAAGGCCAGCTTGGCTTATAGATAGAGTTCCAGGACAGCCAAAAAAAAGAAAAAAAGGAAAAAAGAGAAAAACAGACCTAAGGGCCTAAAAATGGCTGATGCCTATAATACCATAACTACTTGACAGAACCAAGAAGCATGCAAGTTCTAGGCCAGCCTGAGCAACCTGGTGACTTTCCTTCCTGACAGAAAAGGAAAGAGATAAGGGTGGAGCTCAGTTAGGGTGCTGTCCCAATAAACTGAGTCCTGGAGCACCGCAGCCCCAGAAAAGTCACAAGGATTTTTGTTTGTTTTTGAGACAAGGTCTCACTGTGTAGCCCAGGCTGGCTTCAAAACTCAGGGTGTGGGGCTGGAGTCGGCTGGGCAGTTAGGAGCAAGCAGTGCTTAGTTCCCAACACCACCCACACAGTAGCTCACAGCCTCCTGTAACTCTGGTTCCAGGGCGGCTCATACTCTCTTCTGAGCTCAGGCACCACGTGGTACACAGACAGACATGAAGGCAAAACATGTGAAACGCATACATCGGATAGAAATTTTAGCAAAAAAGTCCTATATAGCTAACATAATTGTATATAGTTAATAACAAAAATTTAAGAAATTGCCATTTTAAATTTTATACATTGTTAGTGAAAGTATAATTACATTACTTTTCCTTTCCCTCCCCTCCCTCCAACTCCTTCTGTGTCTCCCTCTTACTCAAATTGGTATCCTCTTTCCTTGATTATTATTGGTGTGTGTGTGTGTGTGTGTGTGTGTATGTATACTCCAGTACAAAAGTATATCTTTGAGTCTGCCAAGTGATTTTGTTGACTGTGTGTGTATGGTTTCCAGGGCTGACCACTCTTTATTGGACAACCAATTATGGAGCCCATCCCTGAGAAGGACTAATTCTTTTTTTTTTTTCCCCTCCCAGACAGGATTACTCTGTATAGCCCTGACTGTCCTGAACTCACTCTATAGACCAGACTAACCTCAAACTCAGAGATCCGTCTGCTGGGATTAAAGACATGTGCCACCAGGGCACCACTGGGAAGGACTAATTCTAAGCCATTATTGGTCCCTTGTGTTTCTTTGTCTAGGGGTGGGACCCCATGAAAATTTCCCATTTCCACATTAGCCTTGATGTTGCCATTGCTCCAGTCCTGTTCATGTAGTGTCTTGGATGTCAAGATGTAGATGTGGGTTCACACAGGTCAGAGGAAAGAGACAGGGTTTCTTTGTATTGTTTTGGAGGCTGTCCTGGAACTGGCTCTGTAAAGCAGGCTGATCTCGAACTCACAGAGATCCTCCTGCCTCTGCCTCCCGAGTGCTGGGATTAAAGGCGTGTGACACCAATGCCCAGCCGTTTAGCTTTATATTAGACCAATTAAGGCAGGCAATGTGAAACAGTAACACATCTTTACATAGTTAAACCATTTATTCTGCAACAAACAACTGTAACACACCTTTACTTACTTAGTTAAATATTTTATTCCACAACAGTCTGCATAGTTAGTTCTGGGACAGGTAAGGTTACAGTGAGACCTTGTCTCAGAAACAAAATTACAGCTAAAGGGGGGGGCAGCATTCGTTAAGCAGAGGAGGGGAGGGCAGAGGAAAAAAGGAAACCAGCCCACCAGGGGACAGACAGACAGACAGGAAGCATGAAGGCACGATGGACAGCATGTAGATGAGGTAAATGAGCCCAGGGCAGCACATGGGTTAATTAAAGTTAACTTAAAAGTTAAGTTAAAGAAAAACTAGCTAGAGACAAGCCTAAGCTAAGGCAGGACTTTTCATAATCGATTATGAGTCTCTGATCATGATTTGAGGGCTGGTGGTCCAGGTAGGCCTGCTACAGTAGATCAGATTGACCTGGAACTCACAGAGATCTACCTGCTTCTACCTCCTAGGTGTCGGAGGAGGCCTGGCCCAGTTTAATTATTCTTACCACGGATTTCTTCACTTATTTATTTTTGTTTGGGTGGCAGGAATTAAGCCAGGGTGTCACGTGTGCTAACAACTGCTCCACCACTGAGCCGTATCCCCTCCCCAGGTCTCGTTCTTGCTTGCCTGCATCTTCTTTCTCTAACAAAAATACCTACATCTTAAAGAAAGAATACAGGATGGGCGTGGTGACACATGTCTACTATCCCAACCCTGCAGAAACTAAGGCAAATCATCAGTTCCAGGCCAGCCTGGACTACCTGTCTGAAAAACCCCTAAAAGCAGGGCAGGAAGGTGGCTCAGTAGGTAAGGGGGATTGTCATTAAGAACGGGGACCCAAAGTTAAAGTCTCAGAGTCCACAAACAAGCTGATGAGTGCAAGCCACTGGGAGCGAGCACAGCACCGCTGCATGGGGGGTGGGAGGTGGAGACAGGAGAATCCCTGCAAGTTTACAGCCCACATAGTCTGGTTTATGCGGTGAGGAAAGAGCAGAGGCCCTGCCTTTAGCAAGAGGCCAGCAGTGGTGGCGCACACCTCCAATCCCAGCACTCAGGAAGCCAAAGCACGTGGGTCTCTTATGAGTTCAGGATGGCCAGGGTTACATCACGAGACCCTGGCTCAAACAGAAGCAAGGTAAGGTCGAGGGTCAGCCCCTGAGGCTAAGTGTCCTCTGACCCCGGGCAAACACTGGCACATGAGTGAACACACATGCAACACATAAAGTTCAAAGGGAAGCTGACATCTAGGGTTGGTTGCTGACACAGCAATATAATAAATGAAGTGCAAGCTGGCCGGGGTTCAAGCCTGAGGAACTTCAAGAAAGAGAACAAAGGTCACCAGGTGTTGGTGGTTGCGAGTTAATCCCAGCACTCAGAAGGCAAAGGCAGGTGGATCTGTGTGAGTTTGAGGCCAGCCTGGTCTACAAAACTACACAGAGAAACCCTCTGGCGGGGGGGGGGAGAGCAGACAAGGTTCATTTGTTTTTCTAGGCAATTTGTATAGCTGAATCCCACTATGTGCAATCTGACTTGACAGAACTAGCATGAAAACATGTACTTCCCATGTCAATGTCTGCATAACCCTTCACAGGTGCATCATGAGGCCAACCTTTGAATTTAGGAGGTTAGAACTCAGATGATAAATGCTTGGAGCGTCTGAGGCCCTGGGTCCCGTCCCCAGCAGAAACAAAATCCGCACTCAGTCTTCAGCTCTAGAGTGTAAGCCTTAGGCTCCAAGGGATCGTAGTACTTCACCAGCACCCCACTTCCTGGCTCCTCAGAGCGGCAGAGGCCTGTGTGTGTAAGCGATTGGCCAGGCTCCTGGGCCCAGGAATGCTGCACTGCCTTTAATAGCTGTCTGAACAGTCCTTCTATGGGCAACAGGCAGTTGCCTGAGTACCTGCGTGTTTTCGTCCTTAGAATCCCTGCTTACCGTGCAGACCCTGAAATTTAGACCAGATGCATTCTCAGGAAAAGGAGGTGAGGTTCCTGAGTGGACGAGAAAGCCTGAAATCCAGGTTTCAGGAGAGGAGCAAAACAAAATGTCTCCTGCCAAAGCTGTGTCAACCTAGCCACTCAGGGATGAGGGGACGGACTCCAAGGGTGCTTGGCCTTCCCCGAGGGGCGCGACCCGGCACGGCCTGAGGCTGGGATGCTTTCAGAAAGGACTTGGGGACAGTTCATTAGCAAACACCGAGGTTTCTTTCTCCACACTTCCCTGAAACTAAGCATGTCTTCCAAGTGTAGGCTCCCTTTCCTAGAGTTGCGTGCGCGCGCGCACACTCTCTCTCTCTCTCTCTCTCTCTCTCTCTCTCTCTCTCTCTCTCTCTCTCTCTCTCTCTCTCTCTCTCTCTCTCTCTCTCTCTCTCTCTCTCTCTCTCTCTCTCTCTCTCTCTCTCTCTCTCTCTCTCTCTCTCTCTCTCTCTCTCTCTCTCTCTCTCTCTCTCTCTCTCTCTCTCTCTCTCTCTCTCTCTCTCTCTCTCTCTCTCTCTCTCTCTCTCTCTCTCTCTCTCTCTCTCTCCCCCCACTGGCAGAACTGTGACTGCCGACCGGCTCGGTCTGCAGCTGTTTTAGGCACTCCCCCGGCCGACCGCGAGCCATTGGGCCACCCGGAGGGCTAGGAGCCTGGGCCTTCCTTACCCAGCAGGACCTGCTCCTACCCGTAGGTAGCCTGAAGGAACCTGACTCGAAAAGTAAAATTACTACTTCTATGCTGACTAAACTTGACTGCTGATGCGCTTTGAACTCAGGCATGAGCACAGTGGCGCGCCTTCCTGGAGTCTGGTCCGGTTTCTCTTAAAGGAGTCAAAACAAAACCAAAAAACAAAACAAAAACCCAACGAAACACTTACACTTGTTCGTGCTTAGGCGCTGAACTGTGCAAACAGTACTTTTAAAATCTGACGAAGTTAAGTAGCTACCCCTGGAGACCCAGATGTCCTGAGGTTCCCAGGGGCGCAATAGGGAATCTGGAACCAAAGGAGTAGCTGTGAATTCGGGTGCCGAGCTCGCCTCTCCCGGCCTCGCTCTGCAAACCGCCGGGCTGGAGAGTGGTTAGCACACCTAGGAGCGTCAGCGGAGACGGTTGGAAACTCCGGAAGGGCGGAAAGCGAGCGGGCGTAGGCGGCGGAGACGCAAACGGCAACGCCGGGGACAAATGGGTTAAGTGGGCGTGGCCCGCGGCGCTCCGCCCCGACAGACCCCGCCCACGGAGGCCGCGGCTGGCGTGCGTATTTATAGAGGCGGTGCCCGGCGCGCCGGGGCGTCCCTGTGCCCGCTGTCCCGCGTCATGGAGCGGCCGGCGCCTTTGGCCGTGCTGCCCTTCTCCGATCCCGCGCACGCCCTCAGCCTGCTGCGCGGCTTGAGCCAGCTGCGCGCCGAGCGCAAGTTCCTGGATGTGACCCTGGAGGCGGCGGGCGGCCGCGACTTCCCCGCGCACCGCGCTGTGCTGGCGGCCGCCAGTCCTTACTTCCGCGCCATGTTCGCGGGCCAGCTGCGCGAGAGCCGCGCCGAGCGCGTGCGCCTGCACGGGGTGCCGCCCGACATGCTGCAGCTGCTCCTGGACTTCAGCTACACCGGCAGGGTGGCCGTGAGCGGCGACAACGCCGAGCCGCTGCTGCGCGCCGCGGACCTGCTGCAGTTCCCCGCCGTGAAGGAGGCGTGCGGCGCCTTCCTGCAGCAGCAGCTCGACCTGGCCAACTGCCTGGACATGCAGGACTTCGCCGAGGCCTTCAGCTGCTCGGGGCTGGCCAGCGCGGCCCAGCGCTTCATCCTGCGCCACGTGGGCGAGCTGGGCGCCGAGCAGCTGGAGAGGCTGCCGCTGGCCCGCCTGCTGCGCTACCTGCGGGACGACGGGCTGTGCGTGCCCAAGGAGGAGGCGGCCTACCAGCTGGCGCTGCGCTGGGTCCGCGCGGACCCGCCGCGTCGCGCGGCGCACTGGCCGCAGCTGCTGGAGGCCGTGCGCCTGCCCTTCGTGCGCCGCTTCTACCTGCTGGCACACGTGGAGGCCGAGCCCCTGGTGGCGCGCTGCCCGCCTTGCCTGCGCCTGCTGCGCGAGGCCCGCGACTTCCAGGCGGCGCGCTACGACCGGCACGACCGCGGGCCCTGCCCCCGCATGCGTCCGCGCCCGTCCACCGGCCTAGCCGAGATCCTGGTGCTGGTGGGGGGTTGCGACCAGGACTGCGACGAGTTGGTCACAGTCGACTGCTACAATCCGCAGACGGGCCAGTGGCGCTACCTGGCCGAGTTCCCCGACCACTTAGGCGGGGGCTACAGTATTGTGGCGCTGGGCAACGACATCTACGTAACGGGTGAGTGCGCCGGGGACTTTTCAAGAGAGAGAGAAAGAGAGAGAGAGGCTCAGGACCTGGAATCCTAGGGCCCGACCTAGCCCTTGACTACGTTAGTTTTTCCATTCGCGTTCCAGCTAGAAGAGAGAGCCCCCTGTGCGAGCAGAGACATAGCCGCTTTGTGGGTCTCCGTGCCCTACGTGGGACAGCCTGCCTCGCTTAGCCAACTCCTTGCCCCGGAGGTGCCTCCCGCCTTGGGGTTGGAAGAGGCCCGGCATTGACCTGGCACAAAGGGTGCTTTCTTTTAATCCCCAAGGAATGTGGGACAGACTTGTAGGCTGGCGCCTGGCATCTCTCCCTCCCAAAGCGGGGACATTTCTCCCTCCCTGCTAAGCCACAGGGGCCTCCTGACTCACTGGCTTTGTCACCAGTGACAGGGTTTCTTAGAACCCGTACCTAGGCAGTGCACTGTGGATCACATGGTGTTGAGGCTGCCCTAGCCCACGACTGTAAACACGGTCACATGTCGAGAGATTTTCTTCCAGTTACTTGGCTGAAACCCCAAAACAGTGCCGAGTCACCGTAGGCGGGCCCCGGCCTGCCCCGTGCAGGCTTCTCCCACGTATTTTCACTAAGGATAGATCCCTAATCAAACAGAAGGGAGGCCGGCCACCCCCTCCTCCTTCGGGCCAACAGGGCTGGCCTCTGGAACTGCTGCTATATAAGGGAAGACCCCGGGGGCCGCTGTCCGTTATCATTATCAGGCTGGCAGGCTCGAGCCTGGGCTGTCACGGGGCCGTGCTTCACATTCCAGAGAGCCCACTCTGCCCTTCCTGTGGCGTGCTGGTGGGTCTCAGAGCAGAGGATGGGACAGACGCATCCTGGCTCAGGGACAGCCTCAACTCTGGCCCCTGAATCGCGGCCCTCTGCCAGACCTGTCAGAATCTAGCTGGCCTGTGGTGTTTGGGCTCCGCCCTTGCTGCCCTGCCCCCATCTCCTGTGAGGTCGGGCTGTTGGTTTTCTGCGGAGACCGCCTTCCCCCCCCCAACTGGCCAGACCCGCCCTTGAATAAGTGTCCCGCAGCCGAACAGCTAATCGGCTTTAGGCAGGTGGCTCTGACATTCCCTTCAGCTGCTGGTGGGGGGATTTTCCTGTGGTGCCAGGATGCTGCTTCAGCTGCTCCACAGCGTCCCTGTAGAAGGTGCCTCAGACTCTTCCCTCAAAAGCTCTGGGCTGAGGGACAGACAGAATGTCTGCCCTGTTCAGAGCACCAGCCAGGAAAGCCAGGGGGCACAGCCCCCAGGATTGGATTCCTGGAGTCTCCTCACATACTGTGAACGGCCCATGGTCTTAGACCTACTTTATGCTATTACCAAAAAAAAAAAAAAAAAAATCAGTGTCAGGTCACGCCGCGTAGCTTGATAAGAGTCCCAGGTGAAACATGCCCTCCGCTGAAAGTCAAAAGTCACAGAGGGGAGGTGTGACAGTGTGGCTGGTTGTGTTAGGTCTCTTGGGAGCCAGTGCGGAGTTCTCACCTTGTCCCCGACACAGTCTTGGTTTGAAAGTGTCCAGGATGTCTAGAGTTCAGTGGCCATGTCCCATGCATCTACCCAGAGGAGCTCTTCTCACCCAAGAGTGCAAGGTCTGAATTAGTTAAGTGTGGTGGTGTTGGATGGGGGAAAGACTAAGGCCGTGTGGAGGAGGGTAGTTTTGTTTTTTTATTGTTTTATTTTTTTGGTTTTCTGAGACAGGGTTTCTCTGTGTATCTACCTGCCTCTGCCTCCAGAGTGCTTGGATTAAAGGTGTGCAGTACCAATGCCCGACTTTATTGTGTTTCTTAATGTATGAGTGTTTTGCCTGTATGTGCCAACAGAAGCCAGAAGAAGGCATCAGATCCCTCAGGACTGGTGTCGTGGATGGCTGTGAGCTGCCATGTGCATGCCGGGAATTGAACCCCAGGTCCTGTGAAAGAGCAGCCAGTGCTCTCTGCCCTCGTTCTGTTTCTTGGGATGTGGGTCTCATGTAGCCCAGAGCTGGGGTAACAGGCGTGTTGCTCTCTGGGGACAAACCCAGGGTTCATGCGTGCTCTGGTAAGCATTCCACCAGCTTGACTGTGTCCCTCAATCTAGGGCTGTTGGGGAGAGGCGTCTTTTGGTCTTGAACTGGCAGCGATCCCTGGGCCTGCGCCCTGCCTCAGTGACCGTGACTACTTGGCGATGCCAGAAAAGACAAGTGTGTTTTGGGTGAAGGGAGCGAGGCTAATAATTCCCCTGTAGGGAGAGGCCTAATCCGGAAGCCCAAGAAGGCACAGGTGGGTGACTCACTTGGCGTGGGCTGACCATCTGCCCTCCGTGTGCCCCGACAGGCGGGTCCGACGGCTCCCGGCTCTATGACTGCGTGTGGAGGTACAACTCGAGCGTGAACGAGTGGACGGAGGTGGCTCCCATGCTCAAGGCGAGAGAGTACCACAGCTCTTGTGTCCTGGACGGGCTCCTGTACGTGGTGGCCGCCGACAGCACGGAGCGCTACGACCATACCACCGACTCCTGGGAGGCCCTGCAGCCCATGACCTACCCCATGGACAACTGCTCCACCACCGCCTGCCGAGGCCGGCTCTACGCCATCGGCTCCCTGGCAGGCAAGGAGAGCATGGTGATTCAGTGCTATGACCCGGATGCTGACCTGTGGTCTCTGGTGGACTGTGGCCAGCTCCCACCTTGGTCGTTTGCGCCCAAGACTGTGACCCTGAACGGGCTCATGTACTTTGTCAGGTGAGTCCCTGGAGGTGGTGTTTTTTTTGGCTCTGTGTCCCTGTGCTGCCCTTTCATAGATGAGGGAAAGGGGGCGGGGGCTGAGCTGAGGTCAGAGGCTGGGGCTTGTCCCACCCTTTGGGCCATTTCTGTGGGGCTTCTAGGTTTTCTTAATCAAGCTACTTCAAGGGTAGTGGAGTCTTGGCAGTGCCTAGCTAAGCAGCCATGTGTCCACCAGCTACATGTGCAGTGTGTGTGTGTGTGCGTGCATGTGTGTGTGTGTGTGCGTGTGTGTGTGTGTGTGTGTGTGTGTGTGTGTGAGAATGAGACAGAGACAGATGAGAATGAGACAGAGACAGATGTCTCAGCTCTACCTTAGCCCCATGACCTGTCACAGTCAAATGTGCCTTGACTGACTGGCTGCTGAACGTTTGGGAGGGTAATTGGATCCCCTTCGTACTGTATGTGTGCGCGTACATGCATGAGTGCGCGTCTGTGTATGTCCACTGCTCCCCTCCCTGGTCTGAAGCTGTGAGGCTTGCGGGGAGGGAGGGAATGGATGAATGACAGTCCCTTCTGTCTCCTTTTGGTCTTGGACTTTGGTCTGGGAGCCCAAAGCTGTATGCCCTGGGCCTTGTATTTTCCCTGGCTGAGCAGCACTGACCTTTGCCTGCCCTGCCCCCCAAAAATAGGCCACCACTCTCCAGGGTGAGCTCTGAGGAGTCTAAAGGGGGCCCAAGTGTCATTGTTTGTCATCTAAGAAGCTGAGGGCCCTGGTGTCTTTAAATGCCGGGACCTGGAGGTTTGCTTGAGAATGCCCTGGAACCTTCCTCAGCCTGGGTCCTGTTGTGAAACTGTCTGGCCCTTCCCTAGTTCTCCTCACCTCCTGAGGTGCCTTCAGGAAGGGGGAAGGGCTGGCTATAAATACAACTCTGAAGAGTGCCAGGTCTTTGGTTCAGTCAGCCCCTCTGGCCGCTGCTGGCCCAGCACCTTGGAGAACACCGCCCCTGTCCTGAGGTCCAGGACAAGATCCCGACACTGTTGGCTCTTCCTGGACGGCACTCAGTTTTGATTGCTACCTCTCCCAAGTGGACAAGGGAGGGGTTTGCCCAGCCTGTGGTTTGCTTATGTGCCGTCCACACAGGAAGCCACTTCAGCCCCACCTGAATGCCTGGATATCCATGGCCAATAAAAGGAGTTGATGTCAGCCGGGCGTTGGTGACACATGCACGCTTTTTAATCCCAGCAGAGGCAGGCGAATCTCTGTGAGTTCAAGGCCAGCCTGGTCTGCAGAGCGAGTTCCAGGACAGCCTCCAAAACAATACAGAGAAACCCTGGAAACCCTATCTCGGGGGGGAAAAAAAAAGGAGTTGATGTCCTAGGCAGCCTTCTGTGCAAGGACTCTGAGTTGGTTTCTGGAAAAGTCCAGTGTTGACTGTGGCTGGGATGTAGCATCCTTGAAGAGAGGAGTCGGGGAGCCCTGTCCAGCCCAGCCCCTTCCAGCTGTGACTCTGGTCTCTGCCGCAAAGAAGGCAAAAAGTACAGGGGTAGACGATAACTCCGTGGATTCAAGGCCAGTCTGGGCTACCAACCAAGACCTCATCTCAAAAATATACATAGAGGTCCCTGGAAGAGTCAGCAGCTCTGAGGTGTCTGGCCCTTCACACCACACGCGGGGCACTGCTGCCCTTGTCTGACCGGCTATCTCTCCCTCTGTTCCTCCCGAAGGGATGACTCCGCCGAGGTGGATGTGTACAACCCCACAAAGAATGAATGGGACACGATCCCGTCTATGAATCAGGTAATCCTACAGGCGTGCTGGCGTCTGTAAGTGCGGGCTGGTCCTGCTTTTGCAATTGAGCTGTCATTAAGATAGTGTTTGGGAGAGACAGTCATGGTGGGCGGGGCCGTAGTTAGTCCTGTCCAGGTGTTCTCTCAGTTAAGGGAAGCTGGTGTTACGTCTGAAGCTACCGGTACCAGGTGTTTAAATAGGACTTGAAGACCAGGCTGGTGGTCACTGCGGTCTTACTAAGAACAGGAGGAGGTGAGGACTTGGGACAAGTTTTCTACAGAGACAGCAACTGTAGAGGCCCCAGGGCTGGCATGTTTGTGTGAACACCAGCAGCCGTTGTGGCCAGAGGGAATGCTCTCAGACAGGTCCCTGGGAACTGTCCACCCCAGCTACTTCCCGAGGAATTGGCCTTGGGAATACATTTCCTGGACACGTGCCGTGTGCCAGGAACAGGGGCATCTTTGCTGCTGGTGTCATCCGGTCAGGGTCTCTGCTTCCTGAGGAGGTGTGCGATGACTTTTGAAGTCTCTGTAGCATCCGGCCAGGTTTGGTTCCCAGCTGTCACTGTTGGCCGCCCCAGCATACCGTCTCCTGTCCGTAAGATGGAAAGAACGGATAAGCCTGACCTAACGGGCTGATGCAGAAATGCTTGGGGCGGGGGACTGCACCTGGAGACCATGCTGACCACATAGGGAACCCCATTTTCCTGGTCGGGGAACAGGAAGGCATCGGCTTATTCCGTTTACACCCACTAGAAACTAGCAGGCTGAGGATGGTTCTAGTGCTGTGGTTATGATGCACGGGGCTGGTCCCTGCAAGTTACTAGAGCAATCGGGGAGGAAGGTGTGCCCTGCCCCAGTTACCTGCCCCTCACTCCTCCACCTTGACCTGCAGGTACATGTTGGGGGCAGCCTGGCCGTCCTGGGAGGCAAGCTCTATGTCTCTGGGGGATATGACAATACGTTTGAACTCTCGGACGTGGTGGAGGCCTATGACCCAGAGACCCGGGCGTGGAGTGTGGTGGGGCGGCTTCCAGAGCCCACCTTCTGGCACGGCAGCGTCAGCATCTTCCGCCAGTTCATGCCGCAGACACCAGCAGGGGGTCGTGGCTTTGAGCTGAACAGCAGCAGCGACAACAGGGATGCAGGCCGCCTCAGGCTGCCGCAGAACCCTGACGAGCTGCACTAGCCCAGGCCTGGCCCAAGAGAGGGCCTTGGTGCAAGGGGCCTGGCACCTGCGGAGGAACGGCCCCTCCCTTTTGCACGGGATGGGTCACCGGGCAGAGCAGTCGGCTCATGGGTGCTGAGTGAGCCCCGAGATCATCCTGTGAAGGTGTCTGTACATTCGGAGCCTACGTCACAGCTTCTAGGGACGACGCTGCTGGTGACCCGTGTGGCTAAGAACTAGCGGCTCCTCCCGTCGTGTATCTCTGCCTTCCAGAAGTTACCTCCAGCTTGTAGCACCCAGCTCACCACGCAGTGTGCCTGTCCTTGCCGCCACCTCCTGGGCCTGCTTGATCCCAGAGCAGAGGGCAAGGGTCCCTGTGACAGAAAGTAGCCTGGCCTGGAACACGGGGGCCCCAGGAAGAAGACAAAGACTATCTATGTTAGAGTGCTAACCTCCACGTCTGGTAGCAAGGCTCCCTGTAGCTAATGCTGCAGCTCCAAGGGGCGTCAGCTCACCTAGCCTCGCATGTCCGGTGGGGTCTCACCCCCAGGACAGGCTTTCAGGTTCCGAGTACAGACTGAGCTGGTGGATTAAGCCACAGTGTGAGCTTGAAGGGGTTTCCATAGTGCATGCTCTCATCTGGCCAGGAGTCTCTCTCCTCTGTCCCTGGCTTTCCCTGGGGCTCTGTCTCAAACCTGCAGAGGCAAGGCCGGGTTGGGGGAGATGAGCACTGTTCACAAAGCTAGATCGCTGTGCCACCTGGGGAATCTCACGGACACTTGTCTTTAGTGGACAGATGCCGGGCCTGGAAGTAGAGACTCCTGCTTCTAAAGGCAGCCGGGCGCAGCGGCCCCAGCGCTTGGGTCTAGGTTTGAAACGCTTGGAGTTGAACTCGAAAAGAAACAGAGTTGGGAGAAGTAAATGACTAGTGGCTCTGTCTGACTTGAAGAGATACAATACGGGTCACCGTTAGAAACTTGCCGCCATTGTGTGGAAAGCTTAAGATTCCTAGGAGCTCAGGCCCCGGTGTGGAGGACCAGGACCCCCGAGCCACAGCTCGGGGAACGCCTGGGTTTCTTCCTGACTTTGGTGTCATGGGTTTTGGGTGCTGAGACCGATCAAGGTACCCAGTGACCTCTCTGCTGGGGTTTGTCGTCATGCCTCTTTCTGGGGAAGAGGGTGTTAGGACTGTTATTAGAGACAAAGCCAGGGTTCAGGCTATTTTGGTGAACTTGGCAGGTGGGTGGGGCTCTCAGAACAGAGCCTGGCCCATCACATACCCATAGCCCTCTTCTTGGCCAGGTGGCAGTGGTGGGGGGGCTGCCTTAATTTCCCAGGTACCCACCCGCTTCCTCTTCGGTGTCGCACATGGCAGATGCCATCCTGTTGGGTTTGGAATCCGAGTTCTAAAGTGCTGTGCTGGGCACCTGACCCTGGAAAGGGCTGAGTGAGTGCGTGCGGGGCAGTGCTGTCCCAGTGTGGCCCGCTGGTGTCCCAGGCTCCTGTGGGGTGTGCGGCTGTAGTTGGTTTTGGTCCCTGGTGCTGTCAGCCCAGCCCTCTAGTGCCTTTCCTCAGTGAGCCTTGAAAAGCTGCCAGCCAGCGGTGTTGGTACTGTGGGGTGCCTTAGCATGGCAGGGCGGGGCCGTGTGTGGACTTGCCACCCCTGTCAGATCCTCTCCGGGGCAGGTTAGGCAAGTTAGGAAACCCCTGTATCTGCACTCCCGTGACCTGCGGGGCTACTGCGCTGTAGAGCACGCTTGCACGGGGCGCCTCTGCCCACCTATGCTCCCGACCTACTCAGGTTTCCACGACTAAGGATAGTGCCCAGTAGGCCCTCACTGTGGACTCACTGGAGTCCAGGACAGTCCCTGCCTCAGCTTCACCTTAGCCACGGGCTCTGGGGTGCAACCCCACCACTTGACACGTCTCTGCACTAACAGGGATTAACGCTGGGTCACGTTGGTATGGGATTGTCCCTGTCACATGTAAAAAGCTTTTATATGTCGGGATAAAATTAAGTTATGAAAAGTTCTGTGCCTGGTATCTGATGCTGATCTGTAAGGGATTTCTCGTATTTATGACATCAGAGATGTATTAATGAAGGTCACCTTCCTTAGGTGACCCGCACTCGGTCACACCAGTGGCTGGGGCAGATTTGTGTATTTATTTTTGTCTACTCTGTAGACTTCTATGTGCCGCATTCTAAGGTTTTAGGATGCTCCTCTACTTTTTGAAATAAAATGTTTCCTATATGCTGGGTGTCATAGCTTTTCAGCTTTTGTTTCCCCAGAGTCTCACTGTGTAGCTCTGGCTGTCCGGGAACTCACTCTGTAGACCAGGCTGGCCTCAGACTCACAGATCCCTCTGTCTCTGCCTCCTGAACGCTGGGGTTAAAGGTGTGCGCCGCCACCGCCCAGCTGGCCTTCATTTTCTTGCTGTTCTGTCTTCTGGGGATCTGCAGAGGCCAGCGCAGGCGGTGGGAGGCAGCTCTGGACGGCTGAGCGAATGCTGGCCAGCAGGTGTGCCTTGGGGAGCCCAGCGTCACAGAGCCTTCTGCGCCCTTTCTCGCCTCGGGTGGTGAAATACACACCTGACGCAATGCAGGGGGAGGCTGGCTCCTGCCCACAGTAAGATGGTCCTTGACCTGGAAGGGTATCTTTAGAGCAGTGCTTCTTAACCTAGAGCACTGGAGACCAGATATTTGCAATATAATGTGTAACAGTAGCAAAATTGCAGTTATGAAGTAGCAGCGAAAATAATTTTATGGTTGGGGGTCACCCCACCGTGAGGAACTGTATTAAAGGGTTGAAGCATTAGGAAGGCTGAGAACCACTGCTCTTAAATGGTTCCAAACCGGCTGTGAGACCCCCTCCTCCCGAGCCTTCAGTCTGGACCACTGGAGCCTATCCAAACTCAGGGGAGGCTGATGCCTAAGCTGGACACAGGCTAGGGTCCCTGAGGGTAGACTGAGGATCTCACCGTGCTGAATGCTTTACCACTGAGCCACATCCCCAACCCCATGGCCGCATCTTCACAACAGGCCTGTATTGGCAAACCCGGGATGCGTACGCTGTGCACGCTGCCTCTCCCTCAGCCTCTAATGGCCAGGGAATGAAAGGGGCTCAGGTGCGTTAGGTCTGAGTGAAGCCTGTTGCCCTTGCCTCTCAGTGGCAGGGGCATCAGTGTCTGTAAGGGCAGGAGTGTGGCAGCAACAGGGGGATTAGACAAAGCCTGGCTCCAGCTGCTGGGGCCATGACCATCGCTGGCCCAGATGTTCCAATGTGACCGTATTTCACAATCCAAATTCTACGCCTCCTCTAACCAGGAAGTACTGGTGACAAGCCTCAACCAACAGTGTGGCAAAGATGACATCAGGTCACTTCCCCAGCTGGGTCATAGGAAGGTGTCTCGTACTTGTGATTGGGGGATACTGGTTATGGAGCAGCTTCCATGCTGAGGACCCAGGCCCGAGCTACGCCCGTGCTAACAGACCAGGCAGGCGTGAGAGCGCGTAGAGCAGCCCCCAGTAATTTGGCAGAGGTTTTCCACCCAGTGAGCTTTCTCAGTACTAGTCTGAGAAGCATGAGCAAGAACCAGCCCATTTAAGCACGTGTCTGCTGCACCCATGACCCACGGCACTCCGTTCTATAAAGGTGGGACCCACACACCTTCCCACTCAACGTCTGAACCAACATAGGGCCCTTGTAAGGGATGGGTCCCTCTGTGGGCATGCAGCCTGGCACGGCCGGCTTGCTTAGCTGCCATGGCCGTGCTGGCTTCATTGGACTGGTTTAACTCAGGCCAAGAAGCCATGAGCATGGACCCTGACTACTTTGCCCAACTTCTGAGATTCAACCCGTGGCTGGCCTTACCTACACTACGCTAATTAGGGACACCACCCATTGGCATGCAGGAGTGAGGGACAGGAGCGATATAAAGTGGATGCCACCTGCATTCCTGCCATGTTACTCAGCTTGGCTGAGGTTACCAGAGCTGAGGAAGCAGCTGTGCTCAGGTCAAGGACTGGATGGGTACCACGAGGGGATGGCTGGGAGGAAGCCCTTCAGGTTAGTTCAGGCCTGTAACCGACGAACAGCAAGCAACCGGCCACTGGACAAGCAAATCCGAAGTCACGTGTTTATTGGTAGCTGGGACTAACTGCGCAGGGGTCTATGAGTTGCAGTCCTCAGGGACAGCAGCCGTGAGGATGAGGGAAGGTTCCAGGCTGGCAAAGCTCTCCTCCTCCGCGCAGAGTCTCTGGCTGGGGAGCTGGGAGGCCAGGCCACCCTGGGCCAGGGACTCCACAATGACCTCTGCCGAGCCCATCTCCAGCTCTGCAGGCGGCTGGAGTGCCACCACCACCTTCTCATCCTCGATGACTAGGTTCCGGAGCTTGCGCTGCCGTGGGTTGTAGTTTTCCACTCTGTCGTGGATCTCCATGTGCCTCCGCAGGTGAGCCTGGGGGGGGGGAAGCAGAAGCTCAGGGCGGGGTCGGGACGGGGAAGGGGCGGGGACCCTGGGCCTGGCCTACCTGCCGAGTGAACTTGTAGCCACATTCGGTGCACTCGAACTTCCTCACGCCCTTGTGTCGTCTGACGTGCACTCGTAACTGTTCCACAGCTGCAGGAGGAACGGGGCCACTGGCATTAGGAGAAGGGAACAGGGCAGGGACAGGACGGAGATGGGAGACAAGGCATCCCAGGGCCTAAGGGACAGGAGGCGGCACTTGGCAGGGTCTCCCCCCACTCCAGGCTCTACAGCACCACACTGAGGCCACCATTGCCCAGGTCCAGGGCGCCCTGCCCCCACCTCTACTGTCACACAGATCCCTCTCATGGCTCAGCACATGGAAGACAGAACCCTGCTGCCAGGAAGGTTCTAAGGAACACTGGGAAGCCACTGTTGCCCTCCAACTCAGGCAGGCAGGAAACGGAAGCCAGGCCCTCCGCTCTCTCATGGCTGGCCCCCCTACCTTTGAAGGTCTTGCCACAGATCTGGCAGAAGTGAGGCCTGCCCTCCTGGTGGCGACTGGCCACATGCCTCAGAAGCGGCCCCTTCTCAGTGAAGCGCTGCTCGCAGAACTCACATCTGAAAGGCCTCTCACCAGTGTGGGTGCGGTTGTGCTTGTCCAGGCTGGCTGTGGGGGACAAGGCGGGGCTCAGTTGCTGGCCTGCGCCCCGGAGAAAGGGGACAGGCCTGCCTCACCCTCACCTTGGGTGCGGAAGGTCTTGCCACACAGGTGGCACTGGAAAGGCTTCTCGCCTGTGTGTGTGCGCAGGTGCATGTTGAGATTGGCCTTCTGGGTGAAAGCGTGGCTGCAGAACTCGCACACGTAAGGCCTTTCGTTCCTGTTCAGAGGGGACACAAGCGTAGGGCTTGGCCAGGCAAAGGACACCACCACCATTGCCAGCAGCCAAGGAGAAGTCTATGGATGAGGAGTCAGGAAGGTAAGGGATGGAGACACGCCTCTGCCTGAGCCCTCCCCACTAGCTAACAACCCTGCCTGTCTCTCACCCCCACCCCGGAAAGGCTGCAGGTGCTAGACTCTGGAAGAAAATGCTCATCCTCGTGTGCGTGTGCTTGTGCATGTGTGTTGCTTCCTGGACCACCATGGGGCGGGGCCGCACTCCCACGTTCCCACGCTCCGGAAGGGGAGGGCTCACACCTGTGCTTGGCTTTGATGTGCATCTGCAGACCGTTGCGGCTCGAGGCCCGGTGCCCACACTCCTCACACACAAACAGCTTTTCTCCACGATGCTTAAAAGCCTCGTGCAGCTGCAGTTCCGTCCTAGACAGGAAGCACTTGGCACACGTGGGGCACTGCAGGCGGTTGAGACAGGCAGAGGGGCGGTGCCAGGTGAGGACAGGGCTGGGCTGCCCGGGAGGGAGCCACAGGTGCCCAGCCCCGCCTGGTCTGGCGCTTACCGCATGGGGCTTAGGGGCTCCGTGCAGCTTGATCATGTGACTCTGCAAGTCCTTCTTCTGCATGAACTGCTGGGAGCAGGAGGAGCACTGCAAGGACAGGCCCAGTCAGCCCCGCACAGCCTGCACGCCAGTGCCCTGCAGTCAGGCACGGCGAAGGAGGCCTGACCCAGATGCCAGGACAGGCCCTGGTCTGCTGAAAGGGTGACTCTCCGCAGGGTTAGGGAGGCAGGCTTCAAGGGAGAGGTGGCAGATGCCACCCCAGGCAAAGGGGCCACCTCCCCACCCAGCCCATGACCCTGGCACCAGCGGGCCTGACCTTGTAGGGCATTTCCCCTGTGTGAGACACCATGTGCACCCGCAGCTCCATCCTCCGGCGGAAGGTCTCCTGGCACACGGAGCACGTGAAGACCTGGCAGTGTGAGGGCAAGCAGGGCCAGCATCAGGGAGGGCCTCTGCCTGCGACGGCAGCCTCTGCAGGGGCTTCCACACGCTGCTGGGAAGTGTCTGCCTGGGGTAGGGGATGCTGGGGTAGGAGAGGGCAACATGTAACCTGCCTGCCCTAACCATCAGAGCACTGTACACTACCACACGCCAGACCCTTCTCATCTCCAGACAGGTTAGAGACGGGCCCAGCTGCTACTGACCAGTCTCTAGGAAGAGAGGGGTGGGTTTAGCCAAACACTATCCACTTGGGGCAGGGGGACATGCGAGGCAGTCCTTCCCAGCAGCCACCCCCCACACAAACACTTTCCTTGCTCCAAAGCCCAAGACGGAGCTAACCCAAAATATCCCCGCAGGACTTATCCCCTGTGCCCTCTGAACTTGCACCCCCTGAAGAGGTGTCCCGACTTGTATGTGGATGTGACGGCACCCGAGGCCCTGCAACTCTTATTTTATAACCCTGTAGCATTTCCTGGGGTCCTTCCCAGATGGCATGAGGACACAGGCCTGGGCTGCCCACAAATACTTGGCCCAATCCCAAGTACCTGTTCTGAGCGGCCCATGCAATCCCAAGTACCTGTTCTGAGCGGCCCATGCAATTCCGGGCTTCATGCTCCAAGAGGTTCTCCTTGCGAAAGTAACACTTCCCACATTTGGGACACTCAAAGGGTTTCTCCCCAGTGTGTTTCCTGCCAAGAAGAGAGGCCAGAGCGGTGTGGGGGCCAAGAGGCTGTCCCACCTCTCTGGTTCTCAGGAGCACTCCCACTCCGGCCACAGGCCTATGCTATGGTACACAGGTGTCCTGAGGCCGGGCAGGGCTCGCCATGGAGGCTCAGTGAGCCCCAGGTTGGACATGCAGGGGCAAGACCAGAGACCCCGCCAGTATCAGGGAGAGAAGATAGGTGGGGGCTGGCAGCCAGCCCCACTCCATGCATGCTTGAGAACTGGCTGACTGGCACGCAAGCCTGGCTGGTAACCTCTCTCTGTGGGCTCCATTTTCCGCCCCCACGGCAGACAGGTGACATGGACAAAAGCACTTGGCTGCCAAGCCACAGGATCTAAGTTCAATCCCTGAGACCCACGTGGTGACAAAAAACCCATGCCCACAAGTTGTCCTCTGACTCCTACCTCGCCCCGTGAGTAAATAAATAATAAAACACTGTAAGCATCTCACTGACAGCACGACGGTGGCTGCGGCCATGCTTGGGGCCCACGAGTCCCCGCTAGTCCCCTGGCTCCCTCGCTGCCTCACCAGCAGGTCCCACTGGCTTCAGAAGCCTTTGCAGATAGGGCAGTCCGCATCACCCCATGGCTCACAGTCCTCCTATTTCATACGAGGAGGACAAGGGCGGCCCGAGTGAACCAGTCAGGCCCTCTCTCCTTGCTCTAAAGTCCTTGTCTGCCCTCACCCCTCAGACCAGCCACGCTTACTCCAACAGGACATCATTGCTAGCTCTGCTCCCAGCAGGAGGCTCTCCCCAGTGAATGGCTTCTTACCTTCCAGCCTAGGCATGAGTCCCAGCTACTTGGTTTAGATCCCACCGCCCCCAGCACTGGGGGTTGACCCCAGGGCTCATGAGCTAGGCTAGTACAGGAAGACTGAGCTATACCCCCTGCCCATTCCCGGCTACTCCAAGTTGAGGCAGAAGGATCGACAGCTCCAGGCCAGCCTGGGTCATTTAGTAAGGCCCATCTCACTGGAAAAGGACGAGGGATGTAGCCCCACGGCAGAGGAATACTGCAGGTCACCAGGTTGGGGGGGACGGGACACGGTTTTGGGGAAGCTGACCCTATGCAGTAAACTCCAAAACCAATTCCTGGGTCCTACTCTCCTTCTACCCCTCCCCCAAACCCGGTCTGACACTGCAGCCCTAACTGGGCTGGACTTCACAGGAGGTGTCAACTCTCGCTCAGTCTGTCTGCTTCGTTCCAAATCACAGCTTCCTCTCTCCGAGTGCCACAAAGACCTTGGTTTGGCTCACGTGTGCTCTGATGGTTCATCAGTCTTGTCAACAATTCACCTGTGCTCTGACAGCTACATCAGGCTTGTCACCCATCTGTTTGCTGAATGAACTAAACAAACCCTCATCTCAGAGCCGGCGGTAGCTCTCCCAAGTGTCTGCGAGCCAAGCTCTCTCTCCTCCTCTTCAAGTATCCTCTCCCCTCAGTCCCTGCCACAGCATTTTTCTTCTGAGACAGGGTCTCCATATGTAGTCCTGGCTAGACTAAAACTCACCACACAGACTCAAACTTGCAGCAATCCTCCTGCCTCTACTTTCCAATTGCTGGTATTATAGACAAGCGCCACCATTCCCAGATACAACAATCTCGAAGCCATCCCCTCCCAGGTCTCAGGGACATCAGCAAACAACAGACCAAGGAAGGGGTGGATGGAGCACGGGCCACCTCCTGTGCGGCCTCAGATCCAAAGCACAGGGATGGCAAATGGCCCCACCCCATTCCAGGTGAGCACTAGCAGATTCCCCGAATGTCACACTGACAACACAGCCTGGCTGGTGTGGTATCAAAACCAACTGTCGCATGGCTACTGAGCACTGGAGATGTGACTTTGTGTCACTGAATTTTATTTTAAGCAATTTGAACTTAAAACAAGCCAGGTGTGGTGGTGCATGCCTTTGATCCCAGCACTCTGGAGGCAGAGGCAGGTGGATCTGTCTTCCTGGCCAGCCAAGACTATATAAAGACCCTATTTAAAAAAACAAAACAAGCCAGGCGGTGGTGGCACACACCTTTAACTCTGTGAGTTCAAGGCCAGCCTGTTTACATAAGTTTGCGTTACATAGTAAGGTCTTAAAAAATACACTAAACAGGGAAAAACTCCACAGGCGTATGGGAGTCCCAGTTCGTCTTCTTACTCCCAGAGCTAATGTCCCCAGGCACACAGGCAGCCTCAGCCGTGAGGACTAGCTTCTTGTGACAGCCTTCATTGCCAGACTTCAGAGAGTCCTACAGTCAGACCTCAGCGCCAGCTCAGGAAGGAGCCAGAGGTTTGTCTCACATCTCACGTGGGCAGAAGCCTACCGACTGTCAAAGTCCACGGTGGGGAGGTGGTGTTCATGCGTCCACAGGATGAGGGAAGAGGCATGCCAACCAGGCACTGTGGGCCTAACACAGAGCCCCCCGGGGCCCCAGCAGAGCCCGGAGGAGGGGCGTCCAGGTCGGAAGGGCAGACGGGAAAGCAAACAGAAGCACGGCGCGCGCTTACCTGTTGTGGACCTTCAGGTAGTATTTGCTGAGGAACTTTTTATGACACGTGGGGCATTCAACCGGCGCTGCTGCAGCTCTGCCGCCGTCCGTGGGCTCCGCACCCAGGGCCCCCGCACCCAGGGCCGGCTCTGCAGCACAGGGCTTTCCCGTTACTTTCGACTTCCGCCCGGTCAGCACCGGCTCGGGCCCAGAACCGGAATCGCCGTCCCCGTCATCCTCGACTTGAACTACCACTTCCCACTAGAGTAGAGGAGGCAGCGGGGGGGGGGGTCACCAAGGGACCAGCAGCAGCAGCTTCAGGGACCCAGCTGCTTTAGTCCCAGCCCAAGCCCCATCCCAGATGTTCCCCTTCCTCCAGGGGCCCGGGAGAGACCCCATGCAAATCCCGGCCTCAGAGGAAAGGGGCTGCCTGTGTTGCCAAGGAGCTGGCCAGGTTTCACCACCCTAGGGGGAAACACATGCAACCCCGATGTTCACTCCACCCCCGGGACGCTGGCGACCATGTTTAAGGGTAGCTCGCAGAGAGGTCAGCCTGAGGCCCCTGGCTTCCTATGTTCAACTCCAGAAGTGTCCCTCTTTACCCCCACCCCGGTTCCTGCACCCTGGTAGCCGTACCTCGTTACTCTCGCCCTGCAACGGGGCACCTCCAGCCTCGATGGGCCGTGGAGACACTTTGCGGTCCTCGGACACTTCGTCCTCTGGGGGGCAAGGCTTCAGAGCCTGCTTGAGCTTCCCACAGAGGAAGGGGGCGCTGCTCTGGGCAGGGGGGCTGAGCTGGGGCTGCCGGCTGTCTCTGGACTCCTCAGGAGCCAGGCTCAGAGTCCTGAAAACCTCCCCCTCGCCCGCATCCCTTGGCTCCTTGAGGCGGCCTTTCACATCCTGGGAGGCAGCTCCAGGCGGCCGCTCCAGTCCACTCTGGACACTTGGTGCCTGTCCCACCGAGGTCCTGGGCTGGAAGCTCTGACACAGCTCCACAGCCTCTGGCACCCGCAACTCCTTGGCTGCCAAGAGCACCTGATCCCTGTTCCCTGAGGTGAGGGCGAGGTGGCCAGTGTAGAAAAAGTCCAGCAGGAGGCCAAAAATCTCAGCAAAGCCCGCAGGAAGGACAACGCTGCCCCCTGAGCCGTCCCCGTAGACTCTCTGGAAGAAATGGCTGCAGCAGGCCAGGACGCTCCAGTGGGCCTTGAACACCAGGCCCCCCACGTCCAGCGTGGCGTCGCAGTACTGGCCCTTCTCCCGCTGCTTGTTAAGTTCCTGAAGAACCCTCACGCTGTGCTGCACGAAGGAACCGTCCATTACCTGCGAAGGAAGGGCAAACGTGACACCCCGGCCGGCCCCGATCGAGAAAGCCCTCGGACTGCAGGGACTGCAGGGAGCCGGACCCTTTGACAGCCACCCATGTCGGGAATGAAGGCTGGGGTCAAGGTTAGAAGGCGCACGCGGGGCGCAGCCAGTGGAGTGCCAGCCTCCGGGGCGGGGAGTGGCATGGGTTGGCCAGGGGAGCCGGGTGCAAGAGCATGGGGCAGGGCGGGGCGGGGTGCTAGTGAGGAGGAGAAAGAGAAAATGAAAATGCAAACGTGGGGGGGACGGACAGGAGCGAAGGCGCACTGATCGGCCTCGCCCCCGAGGCACAGCCACAGCAGGGCAGGCCGGGCGGCTGCGCACAGGTGACCCAAGCCCACGCCGCGCCTGCGGGTCGCCGGCGGCCACACTCGCGTCGGCGCCCGGGGAGGCTCGCCGGCTCCCTCCCGCGCCCTCCTCACCCGGCCGGTCCTCCCGGCTCACGCCGGCCTCACTGCCGCGGGACCAGACCGCTTCCACCGCCCACAAGTAACTCCTGCCCGGCCCACTGCGCGGAGACGCCGCCGTCGCCACGCCGGATGTGACGTTGGGGCGCTCAGGCCCAAAGAACCGGACGCCTTGTGTGTGGGGGGGGGGGGAAGAGAAACGTAGGACTCTCATTCCCCGCCCCGAAGGCGGAGCCTCAGAGGAAGACCAATGGGCCGCGTAGGGGGGCGGGGCCGGGCCTGCATCCAAAGAGCTGGGGCTCATTACCGGAGTCGCCTAGCAACGGCAAGCTGGGCGCTGGGCTCCGGCTCCCGCTAACTGATGTGCGGGTCCCGAGTTCCTCTCCCTCCCGGACCGGAAGCGCAGCCAGAGAGCACACACACACACACACACACACACACACCACGCACACACACACAATTCACGTCTTTATTAGACTGCATGCACTCTTCTGTGTACTTATACATTGTAAGCCATGGCTGAGCTCTCCCAGACACCTCAAGCCCTCCGCCCCGCTGGATCCGCCACTCTGAGGACTTGGAAGGACCGCAAGAGAGACTTCCGGTCTGCCCCGCCCCAACAGTCCCCACCCATCCACCCCCCCACCCCCCGGATCAGGTGGAGCCGCTGCGCCTCGTGTAGTCCAGAATGGAGGCCTGGAAGTGTTCCGTGTTGTTGAGGTCTGGACGGCAGAGGATCACGTAGCACTTGGGGAGGAAGTAACCGCTGAAGCCGCCACTCAGAGTGGTCAGCCCGGCCATCACATAGACCGCTGACAAGTAGCTGCCCTGGTAAATACTGGACGTGGTGAAGAAGGCGACCCAGGATACGAAGCTGAGGAGCAGGCTGAAGGTGACACATTTGGCCTCGTTATAGTTCTCTGGCAGCTCCTTACCCAGGTAGCTGCAGGCAAAGGTGCTGAGGGAGAGGAGGCCGTTGTGGGCGAACGACAGCAGGAAGATCACGGAGTTGACCTCTGTGCACTCCAGAATCACCAGATGGGGGAAGCGCTGGTATTCCCTGGTGGGCAGCGGGGTCCACGTTGCAAGCCATATGACACAGATGAGCAAGTGGACCGTGGAGCTGGCGATGACAAACAGGCCGGCGCCGTGGTTTTGGGCCCAAGTGTGGTAGCAGGTGGGTACCTTGGTGGAAAACTTGAAGATGACGACCAGTTGGAAGGAGCGGATCGTCAGGCAGGAGAGGAAGACGGCAAAACCGAGAGAAAAGAAGGGCTGCCGCAGCAAGCACGTGAGCACCGTGGGCTCCCCGAAGTAGCTGTAGAAGCTGCAGCTCCCCGCGGCCAGGGAACCCAGCATGAGGAAGCACAGCCTGCCCCCGGCCGACCTCACCACGGGCGTGTGGAGATGCCTTGCAAACAGGCCGGCGGTCCCAACCAGCAGCAGCAGCAGAGCAGTGTTAGCTGCCAGTAGCACCAGAGAGACCGGCTCGTGCCAAGCCAAGAACTCCACGGTGCGCGGGAGGCATGTCGTGCTTCCCTCGGGGGCCCATTCTTCTTTGCCACAAGGCTGGCAGATGCGGGGATCTGGAAGGAAGGAGCCAGGTGAGGAGCGGAAGGAAGGGGAGGAGTCGGGGAGAGGGGGTCGAGGTCGGCCGGTTGTTCAGGCCTGCCAGAGGCTGGGACAGCTGCACCTTGGCAAGCAGCATTTGGGGCCCCCGCAGTGACAGCAGGGGGGGGGGGGGGGCTAGAACAGCCACAGGCTAAGCTAAACACAGCCTCAAGAGGTCTGTTTTGGAAGGCTCAGGATCCCAAGCGGGGGCGGGGTGGGGGGGAGTTGGGGGGGGCGGCAAACAGAGAGCTTTATGATCTGGTCAGAGCCACCAGTTTTGAAGATAAGACATTTCTGCCTTCACCATTTCCATCAACCAGATCCACCCCGCCGAGCCTGAGTTCTGACTCTCCGGGCACCACGGATATTAAAAGGAAACAGTGTGTCCCCCTGGTGTCTGAGCTGAGTCCATAGCTCCTGCCCTCGAATGGGGCAGCGCACTGGCTTCCTCCCGAGGCAGACATGCCAGTTTCTACCATTAATCCAAACCAGCCAGGTGCTGACTTCTTGACGCAAGGAAGGGACATCATACAAACGGAACAGCATCTCTTTGGACAAAGAGGTTGCATTTAGGTCGAGATTCATCTGTGGAAGCTGGGGGGGTGGGGGTGGGGGTGCTCTGACAGAGGATACACCTAGGACTAACACTTCCAGGTGAACAATCAGAATTCAGCATAGTGGCAAGTGTCCTCCAGCCTGTGTCCAACTGGCAGGCAGGCCAGTGAGCTGGAGTCCTGGTTTGTAGAGGAAGTTTCTGTCCTGGGGGGCGTTTGGCCCCAAATAAACACACAGAGGCTTCTAGTAACTATAAACTGTTTGGCCAATAGCTTAGGCTTCTTATTGCCTTGCTCTCTCTTAATTATTAACCCATTTCTATTCATCTTAGTATTTCCACGTGGTCTTATCTTACCGGGGAAGGGTCCAGACCTGTTCCTCCTTCCTCTGCTACATGGTGTCTCCTCACAGCTTCCCCCTGCCTCCTCTCCCAGGAATTCTCCTCAGTCTCGTAGCCCTCCCTCTACTCCCTGACCGGCTACTGGCCTATCAGTGTTTTACTCATCAACTAATAAGAGAAAGGCATACACAGCAGGCCGTCCCCCATCACTGGCTTTGAGTCCCTTGGGTGCTGGCTCACTCACGCACTCACTGCTCACTCACTGCTCTTGTTGAGAAAGGTCCCAGCCTCACAGGGAATGCATTCGAAGCAACAATGGTGAGAGCCCACCACCACTCTGTGGTACCCGTCAAGACAGTCTTCGACACACACAGACGTGGGTACCTGTAAGAAGCCACGGTGGTTCCCAGTCACACAGAGGAGCCCTGGCCAAGGGACAGCTCACACGAGGTGCAGGAAAGAGATCTCTGCACCTCAGCCCTCCAGGTTCACGCTCAGAGCAGGGCCCCGGAGGTGGCTGTTTGATAACACATGGAGCCCGTCCCTGGCAGACCTGAGCAGAGGGAAGGTGGCCTGACATCTGTCACCTCCTCCCTGCACTGGGCAGGCGTCACTCCCCAGACTCCTGGGAGCATACAGCCGTCTTTGGTAACAACCATGTCCCCGTTACCTGATTGGTTTTCCCAGACCACTGGATTTTCGTCTTGTTTATGTCTAGCTGAACTGGAGACCTTGTAGCAGAGCCAATGACCCGAAAGCTCCATTCAGGCCCATTCCATTCCCAGGAGATGATGTTATAGTCACCCAGAGGGTCCCCGTTGTCATCGAATGCCATCGTATCCTTATGTAGAAGGAAATTCACCTTGTAGATCTGCTGCAGAAGCTGCAACAGACAAATGTCATGAAGCCTCCATAGACCACACAGACCCAGGCAGCCCTGGAAGCAAGCAGGGGCTCTCTCGAGTTTCTGCTGTGAGTAGTCCCAACCCACCTCTAAGGCCCGGTTTCTTCCTCAGCAATCTGTTCCCTTCTAGGAATCCCCTTGACCCGACCCCCTCCTGAGAGACCTCTAATAAAGAACTCTTTTGCAGATGCTTTTGGCCTTTGATATCTTTGGGGTGTGGTGGGTGGGAGAAGACAGGACTCAGAGAGGAAAACCATTTCTCTAAGAGAAGACCTCGATTCACCAACTCCTCAGACAGTCAGTGGACTCACGCTGCCAGGGTCAGCGGTTCTCCTGGATGCAGACGCCCTGGCTGGATTCTCTTACCTGCCAGGGGTAGACCGGGCCCCTGGAACAGGTCTCAGAGGTACACCCCAGGAGCTGGTGGAGGCCATGGGCCACGGCGTACACGGCCTGGTACACGTTGTAGGCGGCACTCATGGAGAAGGCTCCCAGCCTGGGCATGCTGTGTATGGTGAAAGCGTGGCAGTCTCGGCACAGCTGGTTAGTACTGCACCAGGATCCCTCTGGACAAGACCTGGGGGCACCCTTTACCGCCCTAATGTAAGACTCTTCAAACTCCTTCAAGCCAGGGACAGATCTCTGCTGGATGGCCACCCCCAGCACTGTCCCAATGCCCTGGATTCCCGGCACTTTGGTGATGTACGTGGAGATGGCCCAGTCCTCCGAGGCGATCCACACCTTGCCAGTCAGGTTGGCCAACACCACAGACCCGAAGAACACTCTGGCAAGGTTCCGGTTGGAGAAAACTACAACCACGGTGGTCCTGGCTTGGGCCAAACGGTGCACCATTTGCTGCATTCTCGGGTCACCCACTCGGGCCGAAAAGGGCACGATGTCCTTGAAGGCAATGCAAATGCCCTGTGGTGTGGCCAGTTCTTCCAGTGCCTGCAAGCCCAGCTGCCCATAGTCACCGTAGCTGCCGATGAGTGAGATCCACACCCACCCAAACTCCCGAAGCAGCAGCACCATGGCCTCCACCTGGTACTTGTCGCTGGGGATGGTGCGAAGAAAAGATGGGTACTGCCGCTTGGAGCTGAGTGCCACGCTGCTGGCCTCGTAGCTGATCTGTGGGGAGGGACCCCATTCAGTGAGGTCAGCAGCGTCGACTTTGGTCAAAGCACCCCCTCCCATACACACACAGTCCTCACCCAGCCTAGGAAGGATGCAGACAGAGAAGGGAGGCTCCTCCAGGGAGTTCCAGGAGGTGTGGGGATCTGCCTATGGAGTGAAAGGCCATGCCATCTAAACATGGAACAAGCCATGCTCTCCTGACCCCAGGTCCTTGGCATGAGTAGGACAGTGCAGAAGACCTGAACTCTTTTCTTTTTCTTTTTTCTTTTTTCTTTTTTTTTTTTTTTTGGTTTTTTGAGACAGGGTTTCTCTGTATTGTTTTGGAGGCTGTCCTGGAACTCACTCTGTAGACCAGGCTGGCCTCGAACTTACAGAGATCCGCCTGCCTCTGCCTCCTGAGTGCTGGGATTAAAGGCGTGCGCCACCAACGCCCGGCTGAGACCTGAACTCTTGAGCAGGGGGCTCACTTGTGCCCTGCACACTGTGGGGACCTCTTAAGGGTCCCCTGAGAAATGACATGTTCAGACTCAAGTTTGAGGAGGATATCTCTAATTCAAGTGGGAATGCTGTCAAGGCTCAGGACTAGAGCAGGGACTGAGGAAAGCACCTGTGAGGGGTGGTGGTATTCTGTAAAAGGTGAAAGATTCAACCAGGTGTGACCAGGAGGGTCAGGAGTTCAAAGCTACCCTAGACTGTAACGCAACTACAGGGCCAACCTGGGCTACAACAGACCCTGTCTCAAAAAGCCAAAAGAGAAAAGATGAGCCAGGTGGTGGTGGCGCACACCTTTAATCCCAGCACTCGGGAGGCAGAGGCAGGAGGATCTCTGTGAGTTTGAGACCAGCCTGGTCTACAGAGTGAGTTCCAGGACAGCCTCTAAAGCTACAGAGAAACCCTGTCTTGAAATACACAAACAATGAAAAAAAAGGTGAAAGACAGGTTCTGCAGGAAAACTAGATTTTACTGGTGTTGGTTTGAAAACCGTCAGTAAAAAAAGCTAGGTAGATCACACAGGCCGTGGTGAGTCTGAAAAGGAGAGTGAGTTCCTCATAGAGCGGCTGGTGGGGAAGCTGGGTGAGGAACACATGCTCAGAAGTCAGAGTGCATGGTTTCCATGGCCTAGAACAGGCAGGAAGAGAAGACCAGGGAAATACCAGAAAGGGGTGGGGGGGAGGCAAAAAAAATAAAAATAAAAAAAAAAACAGGGAGTGGTCAGACATATCACAAAGAAGCCAGGTAGCTTAAGGACTGCAAAGTGCTCTTTGAGTCTGGAGCTCTGGAAGGCACTCCTGCTACAGCTAGATCAAGTGAGGACAGAATCCAAGGCTGAGGCACCAATGGAAGGGTGAAGCTAGAGAGCTCTAGAAAGTTCAGTGGGGCGGGGCAGGAAGGAAGAGCCAGGCACAGGAGGACAGGGGGCCCTGAAGAGGGTTAGGAGACTTCTGAGCACGGCAGAGGCCAGGCCAGGACTACCACTGAACAGCAAGTGTCGGGAGCAGGGGTAAAGGCTGTTGGGGTAGCAAAGGCAGTGGAGTCTTTGGATGGAGAGAGGGCACAGAGAGTGAGCAGCTGGATACAACACTTTTAAAAGGAAGATGGAGCCCCGGGGTGGCGGCGCAGGCCTTTAATCCCAGCACCTGGAGGCAGAGGCAAGCGGATTTCTGAGTTCAAGGCCAGCCTGGTCTACAGTTTGAGTTCCGGGATGGCCAGCCAGTGCTACATAGCGAGACCCGATGTCAAACCAACCCAAACAACCAAACAACCAAACATCATGGTTTCCCCATGATGGCTGGAAGCAGCTCAGGGAGATGCAGGCAGAAGACTGGACAGTGGTCATGGTGGGCAGGATCCTGGCACGCAGACTAGAGAGAGGGACCGCCCAGAGATCAAGGGCGTGGCCCAGCCTCCGTGAGGACACAGCTCCCACTGCCCCCTCCTCACCCTAGACTTGTAGATGGGGGTCCCCGTGGAGGCTAGGCTTACCAGGGGCATCAGAAAGGGGCCCAGCAGGGAAGCAGTAGTGACAGCATGGTCAGTGTTGTCAGGCCCGATAAGTGCCACCACCTTGGAGGAATAGTTGTGGAGATCTCTCTGCATCTCCAGGTGGTTAGTCCCCTGCCGGCTGAGCACCCTCAGTGCAGCGTACACATTGGCAGACTCTGAGCACACATCGAACAGCTCGTACCCCAGGGAGATGTTGGGAAGCAAGGCTGTGGAGTTGTTTATCTCCTCAATGCTGAAGCGCATGGCTTGGAAGAGGTGGTAGCCATGGCCGTTGAAGCTGTTGGGCCTGTAGGGAAGGCCAGGGAGAGCTGAGAAGGTTGAAGCCCCCCACAGCACCACCACACACACCAACCAGACCCTCACCTCCTGCATCCCAACTTTGGGGGGCAGAGAGGATCACTGAGGTTGTCTGTCTAAGCCAACACCAGCCTGAAACACCTCGGCCCAGGTTCTCAGAATAGAGACTAGCACACATCACGTGGTGCAGTGTCTTTACTGAGTGCATGAAGTTTTCTGCTCTCGAAGGAACATGAAGGGCTGATGGGGGAACAAAGACCTCTCATCCTTGGCTGCTGCTCTTCTGACCCGCTGGAAGCATCGGATTCGCCTCTCTTTAGGTTGGACCTAAACACTTGCTCGAGTTGCTGACTTTAGTTTTTCTTTTTCTTTTTTTCTTTTTTTTTTTTTGGTTTTTCGAGACAGGGTTTCTCTGTATTGTTTTGGAGGCTGTCCTGTAATCGGCTCTGTAGACCAGGCTGGCCTCGAACTCACAGAGATCCACCTGCCTCTGCCTCCCGAGTGCTGGGACTAAAGGCGTGCGTCACCAACGCCCGGCTTGTTTTTTTTTTTTTAATATTTTATTTATTTATTATGTATACAATCTTCTGCCTGCATGCCAGCAGAGGACACCAGATCTCATTCAAGGTGGTTGTGAGCCACCATGTGGTTGCCAGGAATTGAACTTAGGTCCTTTGGAAGAACAGTCAGTGCTCTTAACCGCTGAGCCATCTCTCCAGACCCTGTTCAATGTTTTTTGGCTTGGCGTTGAGAGAGAATTTCCAGTAACTTCAGAAATGGCCCTGAGCATACTTTTCTATTTATGCTATGTATTTGAAGTATCCTTCTCAACAATCAATGTATCCATTCTAAGAAACAACAACAACAAAAAAACCCAAACATTCTATGTACAGAAGTACCACACATTCAGCTGAGATTTCTTCATGTAAAAATAAATAAGGGCTGGAGAAATGGCTCAGCACTTCAGAGCACAGGAGAAATCCTGTCTCAAAAAAACAAAACAAAACAAAAAAGCCCATTTTCCTTTGTCCTTCTCACAGTCTGTCTTCTAAGCCCAAGCTTCCTCTCCCCAGCCTCTTCTCTGCAGCTCTTTGGCCTAGTCCTCACAGGTCAGGGCTTCCAGAATCTTACTTCCTGGCCAAGTCAGGTAGTCATCATGTGCGGAGTTTCTCATGTGAGGTAGCTCTGGACCTGTCTCTCCAATGCCAGACTTTCACAGACTATGAGTAGCCATTTTTAAGAGGAGACCTACGGGGAACCCCACTCACCAGCCGCAGAAAAGACAGCAAAAACAAGAGAACATAACTGCAGTACAAATAATAATACATGAAGAAAATATCAGCTTACAATATAAATAAATAAGTAGCCTCCTAAAGTAGAAGCTGATGGGCCTGTTCAGCTACCACCTTGACTTCAGTCCTTATACATTAGTGGGGAAGGATTGGGGGGGCAGAACTCAACAGGTAGCCCAGAGGTAAGCAAGGGAGGCTTTGTGTTCCACTGAATGAGAGCCTCTCTCTCTCTCTCTCTCCCTCTCTCTTTCTCTCTCTGTCTCTCTCTCTCTCTCTTTCTCTCTCTGTCTCTCTCTCTCTCTTTCTCTCTCTGTCTCTCTCTCCCTCCCTCTCTCTCTCCCTCCCTCCCTCCCTCCCTCCCTCTCTCTCTCTCTCTCTCTCTCTCTCTCTTTCTCTCTCTGTCTCTCTCTCTCTCTCTCTTTCTCTCTCTGTCTCTCTCTCTCTCTCTTTCTCTCTCTGTCTCTCTCTCCCTCCCTCTCTCTCTCCCTCCCCCTCTCTCTCCCTCCCTCCCTCCCTCCCTCTCTCTCTCTCTCTCCCTCCCTCTCTCTCTCCCTCCCCCTCTCTCTCCCTCCCTCCCTCCCTCCTCTCTCTCTCTCTCTCTCTCTCTCTCTCTCTCTTTCTCTCTCTGTCTCTCTCTCCCTCCCTCTCTCTCTCTCTCTCTCTCTCTCTCTCTCTCTCTCTCTCCCTCCCTCCTTTCCTCCCTCCCCCCTCTCTCTGACAGCGTTTCTAGCCTAGGCTGGCCTCAAACTCACTATGTAGCCGAGGGTGACCTTGAACTTCCAATTCTTTAGCCTCCGCCTGCCCAGGAGAGGGATTACAGGTAGCAGATGCAGTAGCCACCAAACCCAGCTGGTGTGGGGCTAGAGATTAAACCCAGGGCCTCAGGTACTCTAGGCAAGCTCCAAACAGGAGCGAACTACATCCCCAACCCACCAAGCCACAGCTCTGCCTGCCCCCACTCACCTCTCACAAGGAGTCACCTGGGGTCTGTGTCTCACCTCCAGACAGTCTGAATGGAGAGCGAAGAGGCCAGCAAGGAGGTAATCCCCTGGGAGGCTGAAGCCAGGGGAGGACTCTGTCTGCTGGCAGCTCAAAGCCCAGCATAAAGCAATGGGGAGCTGTAGACTGAGCAGGTAAGCCGCCCAGGCAAACATACTGGCCACATGCCCCCTCACGCAGCATGGCTGAGCACACCTCTGAAGAGGCCGGCTGCTTAAATACAATGAGTGACAACCGACCCAATGCCCCTGGAAGGGGCGGGACCGGAGTCCCTTGTGGACAGGCGGTTGGCCTTCCGGGCTGTGGTCTCTCTCAGGAACTCGGCAGGGCCAGGGCATGCATGCAAACCAGGTGGCCCCCAAGACCCCCTCCTCTGGACGGTTGTGGTTTCCGACCTTGCTCTGGTGCCTGCTCCGGTAGGAGAAGGGAGGTCAGATGTTTTTCTGGGAGGAGAGGGAAGACTAAAGGCCAAGGTTACTATCAGGGAGCTCAGGGCTTTTTTCTTTTTCGTTTGTTTGTTTGAGGTGGTCTCTTGGTCTGTTATCCAGGTTGGCTTTGAACTCGTGGACTGAAGCCATCCTCCTACCTCTGGCACTGGAGGGGAGGATCTTACAGTCAGTACTACGGGTCGTCAATGCCTCCGGAGAGTTACAGAACTTAGTGTGCCTCATTAGTAAGCCTGAGACCAGGCTCTGAGTTGACACCTGCTGGCCCGAGTATTGAGAGACTGAAAGTGTTAGTTAATCCTCATGATTTAACCTTGTTATCCAGGACTGTTCCCATCAGCCAGAAGTCAAATGTATGCAAACCCAGCATATACAAATGGACCGAATTTGTTTAAAATGACAATCTTGGATTCTTTTTTTCTTCTCTCTCTCTCCCTCTGCAGGAAGAAAAAGAAATCCCAGGTGGATTTCCTGAGTGGTGGCCTTGTGGTTAAATCCAGGGGCTTCGGCTCGCCCTCTCCAGCCGGCCAGAGTGGGGTTTTGCATAATGTAAATGGGGCCCCGGGTGGGACAGCCAAGCTTCCCCGGGAGCCTGAAGCCCCGGGCGCGCAGGGCTGAAGTTCCCAATGTGCTTCGGAGGCCGGCCGGGAGAGGGCGCCAGCGGCTCCGCGCGTCTTATTCCGGGGAGGGGGGGCGTGGCGACGTAGTCTCGCGAGATTGTCCCGTCGGAAGCGTCCCGGGCCAAGCATGGCGGACGCCGAGGTGCTGCTCCGGCGGGTCCCGAGCCGCTCCTCCTGGCAGCGGGCTCGCAAGGCCCGGCCCCACCTCCTCCTCAGCCGTCGGGGCCGTCGCCGGTTCGGAGTCCTGACCCGGGGCGAGCTGCGGCGCCTGCGACGGCGGCTGCTGCGGGCCCACGCGTTGGGCGGCGATTGGAAGCTCGGCGTCGCGGCGGCGGCGGCGGCGGGGGCCGCGCCGGCGGCCTCCAAGTGCAAGGCTCGGCCCCGCGGGCGGCCCACGCCGGACACCCGGCCCGCACCCCGCCCCGAGCCCGAGCCCGCGCCGGACACCCGGCCCGCGCCCCGCCCCCGGCCCGCGCCCCGTCCCCGGCCCGAGCGCCCGCCGCCGCTCCGGCACTCGAACATCACCCAGCCCACGCGGGACCTCGGCTCGGGCCGCGTGCTGCTGCTGCTGCCAACCGGGGAGGTGAGTCGCCCGCGGGGAGCTCCTGGGGGCCGGACCGCCCTACGGTCCCCGCCCCTGGCCCTACGGAAGCAGGTCGTGGGCAAGTCCATCCTCATCCCCCTGCTCAGGATCTGCTGGCCGAGCTGTGCCAGCAGCACGTGAGCGGGTCGCATCTGTCAGGCACATAGCTGCCAGCGTTCCCGGTGTTCCAAACTGTTTAGCACTCCCAGCTCTCCCGGGAGTGACGGTGGCCTTGGCTTTCTTGCCGTCATGGGCGGGAGAAACAAGGTAGGTGACATGCATGGAGTCAGACAGTAGTACAAGGCAGAGAGCCAGGAGTTAAACCGGGGCGGTCTGACCATGGACTGCCCCTCCTGGGACGCCTCAAGAGTCGCAGATGGGTGCTGTGCGACTTTGTGAGCCTCTTGGGAGTTGCAATGGGGGGGGGGGGAGTTAATGACGTTTAGGATTAAGTTAAAAACCTCGGGGAAGTTTGGCCGATCAGTACAGTGTAGCTTCGTTTTATGTGTCTTGAGTGTACAGCATGTGCATGCAGTGTCTGCAGGGGCCATGCCAAGGCGTGGGATCCTCTGAAACTGGAGTTAAAGGAGGTTAGGAGAGGTTGCGAGCCACCCACCCACCACATGGGTGTTGGGAACCAGGCTTGGATTCTCTGGCAGCCCCAGCCGGTGCTCTTAACCAGTGAGCCTCCTTTGCAGCCCCAGGGCTGTGTCATTTGTTTTTTTTGTTTTTGTTTTTGTTTTTTTGGTTTTTCGAGACAGGGTTTCTCTGTATTGTTTTGGAGGCTGTCCTGGAACTCACTCTGTAGACCAGGCTGGCCTCGAACTCACAGAGATCCGCCTGCCTCTGCCTCCCGAGTGCTGGGATTAAAGGCGTGCGCCACCAACGCCCGGCGTGTCGTTTGATATTTAGGCATGGATTTTCTTACCAATCACTCTGAATGCAGAGATGGTTGAAGAACGGCCTTTTGTACTTAGCTAGTTCTAAGATAGCCTTGGCTACATCATGAGGCCCCCTTCTCTGGGGGGGGGATCATTTTGATAAGTGAATAGCAAGTTAAGATTTTAGGATTTTCCTGTCTTTGTACCAAAGTGTCCATAATGTTTTTGTTGTTGTTTTCCTTATCCTGCTAGGGTTTTACTTTTAGTGGGATCTGCCGCGTGACTTGCATCTATGGCCAGGTGGAAATATACGGCCATATCATCAAACAAGGCCAGCCTGCCAGAGATGTTTATTCTACCTACACCCACTCCTACCTGACCATCAATGGGGTTCAGTACCCAGAACCTGACAAAAGCGAGAAGGAGACCAGGAGAGAGATCCGGGCTCTGCTCAAGCCCCACATGAAACTGGGTAAGGCTTCAGCCTCCTACGTCACAGCCAGTGATTTTTAAGTGCTTTTTATATTTTGCACATTGTGCTCTATTTAAATCCTGGTGGGCCGGGCATTGGTGGTGCACGCCTTTAATCCCAGCACTCCGGAGGCAGAGGCAGGCGGATCTCTGTGAGTTCGAGGCCGGGCTGGACTGATAGCCTTCAAAACAATACAGAGAAACCCTGTCTCGTAAAAAAAAAAAAAAAAAAAAATCCTGGTGGGGTGGGCTTACTTATTAAAGTACTGTTATCCCCACCGGTTTACACCAGATGTTTTCCAAGACCATGAAGCTGATAGGTGGCAGGCTTGGGTACGTCAGGGAATCAGCTCTACGGGTGTAAACTGTTAACTTCTTCTGAGGTGACTTGACCTTCTCTCTGCAGATGACAGAAACTGGGCCATACAGAATTTCCCTCCCCTGGGTTCCATGGTGCTGCTGGAACAGCTGAGGACGCCTGCCGTAGATTTCATGAGCTTCTATGCCTGCGCGTCCTATGTCTTCCTGCAGGAGGTAAAGCCAGTGCTCGTGCCCCCTTGCCGCAGAGTGGTCGGCCGTGCAGGGCACGCCCCCAGAATCATCCTGTCTGTCATGTGAGTGGGGTAGGCATTACACAGCAGGCAGCACCTCAGTGTCAACAGTTAGGAGATAGTCTCCACACAAAGGTGTGTCATGGGTGAAGACACTTGCTGAAGAAGCCTGGCGAACTGGTTCCATCCCAGGTACTCGGGAGAAGGGGAGAGCGCCCCCGCTGATGTTCTGTGACATGCACCCACACAGGCACCTACAGGAAGGTTGTCAGGAATGTTTTTCCTCTTCTCCCTCAGTTTCATTGCCCAGCTGAAGCTTTCTCTTTGTCAGCTATGGTAGGACAAGCCTGTAACCCAGCACTCGTGAGGTGTAGTCAGGAGGGTAACGAGTTGAAGGCCATCTCCAGCTAGGTAGTGCTGAGGAGGCCACGCTGAGCTGCATGGCACCCTGGCTCCCAAAGAAGGAAGAAGAAAAAAGACAGCCAGGTGGAGATGTCAGGCAGGCTGTAGAGTATAGGAGTCTGCAGCCTGAAGAAGGTGGGGGCTATGAATTCGGGAGCCTGCAGCAGAGAGGGCATCTGAGAACACAGATTAGGAGACAGACAGACAGAGAGAGAGAGGGAGGGAGGGAGGGAGAGAGAGAGAGAGAGAGAGAGCATGTTGATACAGCTTGAGAGGGGAGAGGGTATGAGGTCTGGGCAGTGTCACTCCAGAGGGGTTTAAAATAAGGAAGCCAGCCAGGCGTTGGTGGCGTACGCCTTTAATCCCAGCACTCTGGAGGCAGAGGCAGGCGAATCTCTGTGAGTTCGAGACCAGCCTGGTCTACAGAGCGAGTTCCAGGACAGCCTCCAAAGCCACAGAGAAACCCTGTCTCGAAAAACCAAAAATAAAATAAAATAAGGAAGCCACAGAGGAGCTGAGGAATGGCCAGGGTTGGAGGCCTCACTGGTCTGAGGTGGCCTGAGACAGGTGTAGAATGAGGATCTGGACTAGACTGATTTCAATACACTGCTGAGAGACAGCCTCAGATGGGTCAGGATGGGAGAAGAGAGACACTGGATTACGAAATATAAGACTTTGTAGTAAAAGACTTGGTTTTCAAGGGAAGGAAAGAAAGCAGTGTCTACAGGGCGCTGTAGAGAGTTATGGTTGTTGAGGGGGATGGTGCAGCACTGTGCTGGCACACAGCCTTAGGACTGACGAGAAGGACTGGAGTGATGTGCTGTAGAGGGCAAGCTCGTCTGCACTCACCCGAGTCCAGGATGGATGTGTTTGCTCATGTGGTCACGTGGCCGTGGGAGGAACAATGATTCTATGTGTGTGTGCTTGTACACGCGCCTGCAGGTGCATACGGGTGATGCAAAAGCCAGGGGACACCTTGAGTTCTGTTATTCAGGGAGACCGTATCTGGTGGCCTGAAGGCTGATGGCTGTCACAGCCTCCATGTGCACATCCCAGGGGATGGGCTCTCTCATGCACACTCACACTCGCACATGCGTACACACACACACACACACACACACACACACACACACACACACACACACACACACACACACACACACACACCCTTCCTTCATGCCTGGGTTTCTGCCCAGGGCCTCAAGATTATTGACCAAGCTGTTTCCCCAGCACTTATACAGGCATTATTTTGTTTTAAATTTTTTGTTTTTTTTTTCAAGACAGGGTTTCTCTGTGTAGCTTTGGAGCCTGTGTTGGAACTTGCGATCCCCCTGCCTCTGCCTCCCAAGTGCGGGGATTAAAGGTGGCTGGTTTTAACTTTTTTAAATTTGTTATGCTTTGGTGTGTGAGTGCTTTGTGTGTGGGTGTGGGTGTGGTGTGGGTGTGTGAGCGCTTTGTGTGTGTGTGTGTGTGTGTGTGTGTGTGAGAGCGCTTTGTGTATGTGTGTGTGCGCGTATGTGTGTGTACACGTGTGTACCTGGTGCATGAGGAGGTGGTGATGAGCCTCAAGTGGGTGCTGGAAATCAAACCCCAGTCCTTTGCAAGAACATTGAGTGCTCTTTTCTTGTTTTTTTGAGACAGGGTTTCTGTAGGTGGAGTTTTCCCACCCCAGAGGCCATTTCCAAATTACCACACAGGGGCTTGTATTAATTGTAAATGCTCGGCCAATACCTCAGGCTTATTACGAGCCAGCTTTTACTTTTTTTTTTTTTTTTTTTGCTTTTTCGAGACAAGATTTCTCTGTATTGCTTTGGAGGCTGTCCTGGAACTCGCTTGGTAGACCAGGCTGGTCTCAAACTCACAGGGATTCACCTGCCTCTGCCTCCCGAGTGCTGGGATTAAAGACGTGAAGTGAAGGCGGTTGGGGCAGGGCTGTGTGTGGTAGTTACTTCAGTATTTGAATATGTGGGTCTGTGCGCGCAGGACACGTTTCTGTAGAGAGAGGTGTGAAGTCACGGCTCTGGGACTGAAGTTACAGGAAGTTGACAGCCGCTCTGCATGGGCACTAACAACAGAGCATCAGCCTTCAGAGAGCCCAGTCCTCTTCACCTCTGGGCCCTCTCTCCAGACACCCACTGTGTTTTTGTTTTTGGAAACACAGTATTACTATGTAGCCCAGAGGGGCCTCGACCTTGTATTCCTGTCTCTGGAGTTCTGAGATGACAGACAAGTACTACTGTGGTTACTTTATTGGTTGCTATGTAACAGTCCTGGCTAGCCTGGAACTCACAGAGATCCGCCTGCCTCTGCCTCCAGAGTGCTGGGATTAAAGGCGTGCGCCAGTGTGATTACATTTTTACTCACTTGCTCCTGTGAGGAACTGGAGGTCAGAAGCTGCTAGGAAATGTCTTGCTCACTGTCTCCACTGACTCATTGTACCAGGTCTCTTGCTGAACCTGGGGCCCACCAGTTGCAGCTAGTGTAGCTAACCAACTTCTCCCAGTGTTACTCTGTCTGCCTCCCAAGTACTGAGTTACAGGCAGCCCTCACACCTCCTTAGCTTTTACGTGGGTGCCAGGGATTTGAACACTGGTCCTAAAAACTGAGTCTTATCCACTGAGCCATCTCCCTAGCCCTCATATGATTGCATTCTGAAGAGTTTTTTGTTTTCATTTATGCGTCTGTGTGTGCCACGTATTTTTTTAGGAGGCTAGAAGACAGCATCAAATTTCCTGCAACTGGAGTTAAGGCGATTGTGAGCAGTCTAACATGGGGGCTAAGGACCAGACTCTGGTCATCTGCCAGATCTGTAGGTGCTCTCAGCCGCTGAACCATCTCTTCCACTCTGAGACTACATTGTTACCCTCTACAGAAGGAAGGGAGGCACCCGGGCAGGAATGCCCTCTCATGAGGATGTGTCTGTGGGTGCTGCCTTCTTTCATTCCGCTGAATGGTGGACTCCTCACCTGAGCCCCCCTGACCCACGTCAGCTAGCACGTGGACTTTTAGCTTCCTCCCGCTTCCTTCAGAGCTCCAGTGAAGCTGAACACACCGCCCTTTTCATTCCTGCTCTATTTGCATCTCTTCCGCGCCCTGTTTTGTGTGAGAGGCGGCCTTGGCTTTATTTCAGATTGCCAACCTGTCCCTTGCGGTGGCCTCTGTTAAACTTGCCCTGCATTTTAATGCCTCTCTCCTCTCCAGAGGCAGTGGCAGTCTGAGGGTATACGCTGTGGAAACAGACATGAACTTTGGAAAGAGGCAGGACATGCCGATGGGTGGGCTGGGTGTGGGGGTACTGAGAGAAAGGAACGAGGTTTTGTTTTTTGTTTTTGTTTTTTGTTTTTTTTTTGTTTTTTGTTTTTTTTTTTTTTGTTTTTTGTTTTTTCAAGACAGGGTTTCTCTGTGGCTTTTGGAGGCTGTCCTGGAACTCGCTTGGTAGTCCAGGCTGGTCTCGAACTCACAGAGATCCACCTGCCTCTGCCTCCCGAGTGCTGGGATTAAAGGCGTGCGCCACCAACGCCCGGCCTGAGGTTTTGTTTTTTAACTCACAGCGATTTTTTGCTTATTAATTTAGAGTCAACCAAATGTATATTTTTAAGACAATTTTCCTCAGAGTTTGAATTGCTGTGTTTCAGAATACTCCTGTACGGACAAATGCTGAGTACTTCCTTTTGAAGAAGATTGGCCTCAGAAGACAGAGGAAAAAGAAAGGGATCTGCTTTAGTGAGAGTGGCCTTTGTGCCATGGAAGAGCTGGTCAGCGTGTGCTGCGGTGAGCCTCACCTTTCACCAGTTCTGTATTCCCCAGAGCCCCAGGCCCTGCAGAACTGCAGTCCTGAGGACTCGCTGGCCCCGGGACTCACTGTTTGTTTTACCTGCAAAAGTAGATGGCTGCCCTGTGATCCTGTTGTGTGGCGCTTGTGACATTGGAAAGTCGACGTTCAGTAGAATACTGATTAACCAGCTACTGAATAGGTAAGCATGCTTGTGTTTTCACTCGGTCATCCGGGCATGAAATGTGATTCAAATGGAGGAACTTGGTTTTTGTTTGATTTTCTGAGGCATGGTCTCACTCTCTAGACCAGTCTAGCCCTGGGCTCTTGGTGACTCTCCTGCCTCAGCCTCCCCAGTACTGTGACTACTGGTATAAGTCACCATGCCCAGTTTGATGAAGAACATAGGGTGGGGTTGTGTTCAGTTCTGTATGCTGTTGGCTGGGCGCTGGCGCTCTTCACTGTGGGGACAGTGCTCGCATGTGACTCTGATCCAAGTGGGATGCTTGGCCCAGGTGTCACCCCCAAACCCAGGACTGAACTGTTACATTTTGGCAGTGGCCTTGCCTGTTGAATGGCACGGAGCCTTGCCTGTACTGTGGCCCCCAGCTTTTGGGGTGTGGCAACTGCTAGGCTACCCAGGGTGGTGCTATCCACGTGTCACCCAGAGTCACTCCTGCTGAGGACAGCTGAGGGACACTGTCTTTCTCTTTACGATCTCCAGCCTTCCCGGGGTTGACTATCTGGAGTGTGATCTGGGGCAGACGGAGTTCACTCCTCCTGGCTGTGTTGCTTTACTGAACATCACAGAACCGCTTCTGGGTATGTAGAACATACTTCTTTAATGTCTCAGGCTTGCAAGGTTTAAAGGTAACCTTATTACAAAACTGTAAAATGTAAAACATACCAAGTGAACTGTTCTGCCTCTAGCTTCTACAACAACATTGGGTATGTTTTTATTTTAGGAAGTAGAACTATTTTATGTAAATTTTGTTAATTATTTTAATTTTATGTGCATGGGTATTTTGTCTGCATGTATGGCTTTTTGAGGGTATCGGGTCCCCTGGTTCTGGAGTTACAGACAGCTGTGAGCTGTCACAACGTGGGTTCTGGGAATTGAACCTGGGTCCTCTGGAAAAGCAGCCAGTAAATTACAAACACGTCTCACCCAAAAACATCATAGGTGACCTGAGCCCTGCCCCAGATTCCACAGATGATTTTTCTCTGCATTTACCAGTTATCCTGTAATGTCATTTTTAATTTTTTTTTTGTTTTTATTTTTCGAGGCAGGGTTTCACTGTGACCTAGGAGGCTGTCCTGGAACTAGCTCTTGTAGACCAGGCTGGTCCACCTGCCTCTGCCTCCAGAGTGCTGGGATTAAAGGCGTGTGCCACCACCGTCTGGCTGTAATGTCCCTTTTTTAAAATGTATTTCATGTACATTGGTATGAGGGCATCAGAAGTCCTGCAACTGGAATTATAGACAGTTGTGAGCTAACGTGGGTGCTGGGAATTGAGTCCTTTGAAAGAGCAGCCAGTGCTCTTGACCATTGAGCCATCTCTTCAGGCCCGGCCCCCCTCTCCGCCTCCCCCTGTTTTTAGAGTTATAAAATATGCAAAGTAAATGTGGTCATCTTAGCCACTCCTGGGTATATAATTCAGGGGTATTAAATCTGCTTTCAGTGTTCTAGCTCTCATTGCTACATCCGGGTTTTTTGTTTTTGTTTTTCAAGACAGGGCTTCTTTGTGTATTCCAGGGTGACTTTGAACTCAGAAATTGGCCTGCCTTTCCATGTATGCAACAACTCCCTTTTGTTTTTTGTTTGTTTGTTTTGTTTTGTTTTGTCTTTTTTTTTGGTTTTTCGAGACAGGGTTATCTGTGGCTTTGGAGGCTATCCTGGAACTAGCTCTGTAGACCAGGCTGGTCTCGAACTCACAGAGATCCACCTGTCTCTGCCTCCCAAGTGCTGGGATTAAAGGCGTGCGCCTGGTTTAAGATTACTTTTAATTATGGGGGGGAAGTGTGTGCACCTGAGTGCCAGCTAGTGTCCTTGGAGGCCAGCAGAGGGCGTCAGATTCCCCCAGACCTGGAGTGACAGACAGGTCTTGACATCTCTTGACACCAGGCTCGAGCTCCGCCTGGGCCGTTAGCTCCTGCTGCTGAGCCATCTCTGCGGCCTTGTTCTGGGCTCTTCTCTCTCACTGTTTGCTCTGGCTAACCTGGAACTTGCTGATCTGCAATCTCACAGAGGTCCAGCTGCCTTGCCTCCCATGTGCAGGATTAAAAGTATGTACCAGAGCCGGGAGGTGGTGACCCACGCCTTTAATCCCAGCACAGGGGCGGGGGAACGATGACGAAGACAGGCAGGTGGATCTTTTGTGAGTTTGAGGACAACCTGGTCTCCTGGTCAAGTTCTAGGAGAGTCAGAACTGTTACACAGAAAAACCCTGTCTCAAAAAAAAAAAAAAAAACAGAACAAAAGCCGGTTGTGGTGGCGCACGCCTTTAATCCCAGCACTCAGGAGGCAGAGTCAGGAGGATCTCTGTGAGTTTGAGTCCAGCCTGGACTACAAGAGCTAGTTCCAGGACAGCCTCCAAAGCCACAGAGAAACCCTGTCTCGAAAAAAAAAATTGTTACGTTGGGGGTCATCCCAAAACAGTGTATTACAGGGTCCCTGCATTAGGGTGGTTGAGAATCCCTGGATGTGTGTTAGGCAACTGCTTAATTCCTAACTCGAGCTTTTATTTTCCTAGGACCACCTTTCACTCACCCGCGGAGGCCACAGAAGATGGTCTATTACGGGAAGATGAGTTGTCACAACGACTATGAGAATTACATTGAGATGATAAAATATGTGTTCAGAGATTACAAGAGAGAGTCTCCACTTATCATCAACACGATGGGCTGGGTGAAAGGTGAGCAGTGTTAGCAGCTCCCATGAGTGCTGTACAGGTACATATTTACATGTATGGTGTACAGGTACATATTTACATGTGTGCTGTACAGGTGCATATTTACATGTGTGCTGTACAGGTACATATTTACATGTGTGCTGTACAGGTGCATACTTACATGTGTGCTGTACAGGTACATATTTACATGTGTGCTGTACAGGTGCATATTTACATGTGTGCTGTACAGGTGCATATTTACATGTGTGCTGTACAGGTACATACTTACATGTGTGCTGTACAGGTACATACTTACATGTGTGCTGTACAGGTACATACTTACATGTGTGCTGTACAGGTACATATTTACATGTGTGCTGTACAGGTACATACTTACATGTGTGCTGTACAGGTACATATTTACATGTGTGCTGTACAGGTACATACTTACATGTGTGCTGTACAGGTACATATTTACATGTGTGCTGTACAGGTACATACTTACATGTGTGCTGTACAGGTACATACTTACATGTGTGCTGTACAGGTACATATTTACATGTGTGGTATACAGGTACATATTTACATGTTTGCTGTACAGGTACATATTTATATGTGTGCTGTACAGGTGCATATTTATATGTGTGCTGTACAGGTACATATTTACATGTGTGGTGCTTCCGTATATGCGTGCTGTCTTGTTCAAGTGTGGGTAAGCGTGGTCATTCCCCTGTCTAGCTGAGGACAGCCTTAAACCTCTAAACCTCCTACCGCCTCCTCCCAGTGTGGAGATTATAGGCATTTATATCCACTAAGTGAGCTCTGGTTTCTGGGATTTGGGGTTGTTGGTTATTTTTTCTACACTTTCTTGGTTCTTTGAGACAGTTTCTCCAGCTTTGGAGCATGTCCTGGAACTCATTCTGTAGACCAGCGGACTCAGAGTTCCTCCTGCCTCTGCCTCCCAAGTGCTGGGACTAAAGGTGTAAGCCGCCGCCGCCCCGCCCGTGTTGGTTATTTTTTTAACGGATTGATGTTTGTGTGACTGTTTTGTCCTAACACTGCATGCAGTGCCCTTGGAAGCTAGAGGAGGGCTCAGATCTTGTCAGGTGTGCCCATGCTGCCTGGTCATGTCTTTCATTTTTTAATTTGTTTTGTTTTGTGATACAGAGTTTCTCTATGTAGCACTTCTAACTCTCCTGAAGCTTGCTTTGAAACGCACTCTGTATCCTCCTGTCTCTGCCTCCCGAGTGAGTGCAGGATTAAAGGTGCCTGGCCCATGTCTTTAGTGCGTGTTCCGCTGTGCTTACGGTCTCTCTTCCGGCAGATGAGGGGCTGCTGCTGCTGGTTGACCTGATCCGAGTGCTGTCCCCCAACTATGTCGTTCAGTTGTCGGGCCGGGGCAGAACAATGTCTGCTCTGACCTCCGAATATGTAGAGCTCACAGATGGCCTGTATACAAAAAGCAAGACCAAAAGGAGACATCGGGGTTTCGAAATTGAAGAGTTTGGAGACAGTTTAGAATTGACTGACGAAGACAAAGACTGTTGTCCAGTCCCAGCTTTCACGGGACATAAGCTGATAGCTGTTCACTCAGAATTTATATGTGATAAAAATGAGAAAAACAGGTAAGTGAAGCATCCTGGCTAAAGAGCGATGCTGTCTGTGGTGACCAGCATCGGGGGCTCGCTTGTTCACAGAGCTGGTCACGGTGGCTCTGGCCCGTGGTTCTCTCACCTGGGAGGCCAGCCTGTAGCACGTTGTGAGGCCCTGTAAACTAAAGAAGAGGTGGCCTCTGAAGATTTAAAGGGGCATCATTCCTGGGGGAGCGTGGAGATGGGGCTTCCCATACTGGTGGCCAGGGGCTCGGTGCTGAGGACTCTTTGGGCTTTCTGTTATTTGGAGGACTGTGTCAAGGCGGGGTTTTAGGTGGAGACTTAGGGGGGTGAGAGTGAGTGTAGCCTTGGCCCTTAGACCCAGGTCTTGGACCTGCTGGCCACTGTAACCCTGAGCACATCTGCAGCCCTAGGGTTTGGAGAGACCCTTAAAGAAGTGCTCCGGATGTCGGCTGAGCTGCTGCTCGCTTCTGCCCCCAAGTGGCCGTGGTATGTTATTCTCCATTCACCTTGCTCTGCTCTACTTTTCAGGGCCAAATACAACAAAATTTTTCGAGATCTGGCAGTGTTGGGCTACCTTAGCCAGATGATGCCGCCTGTGCCAGGGCCGCTTACGCCTTTGCACAGCCTGACTCCCTATCAGGTAACCAGAGCTGGTGGGAGAAACTGTCTATACAGAGGAGATATGTGACGCTTCCCTAATTCTCACACAGCCCTGTGGTTCAGGGTCTGATAGTCTCCCCGTTTTTCAGATGGGGAGACTAAGGATCCGTGAGGCTGGTTTTTTGAGACAGAGTTGCTTTGTGTATAGTGGTTATCCTGGAGCTCACTCAGTAGACCAGGCTGCTTTCCAACTCACAGAGATCCGCCTGCCTCTGCCTCCTCCTAAGTGCTGGCATTAACGGTGTGGCAGCCACTGCCTGGTGCGGTGGGTTTGTTTTAAAAAAGAAAGCAAGCAGCAAAGTCCTGTTCAGCAAAGCACAACTGGAAATACTGCAGCCAGACATCCGAAGAAAACGGGCTAACTGGAGCAGAGGCACCGGCTGTCACTCTTGGTGGCTGCCAACACTTAGTGTGCTGAACTCTTGACTTTTACAGCCCTTCACCTTGCAAACGCATGTCTCCATGGTCTTGATGATGCTTGGGCAGCTCCCTCTACTCAGTCTGCAAAGAGGTGACCTGGGACCCTGCATGTCGACGCTGGTGCTTTTACCCCTGGCTTTGTTTTGTTTTTGAGTTGAGAGAAAGGAATGAATCATAGGAATACAAGTACAGGAAGGAGGGACTATGGAACCCAGGTGCCCTGAGCAGAACTCTGGTCCTCTTGCCTCTGCCTGCCATTTGCTGTGAGGCTAGGCATGTGCCACCACACCCGTCTCTTTGGAGGGAGGAGAGTTTCGAGATGGGGTTTCTCTGTGTAATAGCCCTGGCAGTCCTGGCACCCTGAGTACACCAGGCCGGCCTTGAACTCGCTGAGACCCACCTGCCTCTGCCTCCTGAGTGCTGGGACCAGAGGTGTGCACAACCCACTGCCTGGTCCACACCCAGTCTTTCGCGGTGCTAGGTGGTAGCCTAGGGCTTCTGTGTATTCAACCAAGCCTTCCCCTAATTTGTGCTTTCAGAACCCCGATTGGCTGGATTTGGTGTCGGATGTTTGTAATCCCAGCCCTGGGAAGTAGAAACGAGAGGATCTCCGTGGCTTGCTGGCCAATCAGTCTGGCCACATCAGCAAGCTTTAGGTTCTGTGAGAGGCCTCTTTCTCAAACAAACAGGGTGAAGCCTGGTGTGGTAGCATATTGGATCTCTGCTTTGAGGCAGCCTAGACTGCATAGTGAGACTGTTTCAAAACAAAACTTGAAAAGCAACATGCCAGGCGTTGGTGGTGCACGCCTTTAATCCCAGCACTCGGGAGGCAGAGGCAGGTGGATCTCTGTGAGTTCGAGGCCAGCCTGGTCTACAAAGCGAGTTCTAGGACAGCTTCCAAGACAATACAGAGAAACCCTGTCTCGAAAAACCAAAAAAAAAACAAAAAAAAAAACAACAATGTCCAGAGTAGTCAGTGGGGAGATACCCACAGGTGTATGCTCAAAATACACACGGGAGCACACATGAACACATACATGGAGAACATATTAAGTGTCTGAGTCAGCGTAGGAGACTAAGGCAGTGGATTGCGTGTCTCAGGAGGAAGCCTCTCAGAGGAGAAGGGCCTCGGGGACATGAACATTGGTGGTTTATTCTCCAGGTCCCCTTCAATGCGGTTGCTCTCCGGATCACCCATGCTGATGTTGCCCCTTCCCACATACTGTGTGCTGTGAACGCCAGCTGGGTTGGCCTTTGCAAGATCGTGGATGACATGAAAGGATACACTCGGGGTCCCATCCTGCTTGCACAGAATCCCATATGTGACTGTCTGGGCTTTGGTGAGTTGAGAGTAGATTATGACTCTTTCCTTGTCCACTCCACCATAGACAGCTGGTCTTCACCTTGTACCTGGGCATTGTATCGAGAAGCACCTGTTGTCAGGGAAGTTAATGTCTCTGTGTGCTCCTCCAGGGTTGAGTTCTTTGCCCTCATCACAACTGTCCAAGCTCTTCTCGGCTCCTCACAGCTGAACAGGGCGATGTTCAAATTCTTTGAATAGACTTTTTCTTTTTTAAGATTTATTTATTTGGGCTGGAGAGATGGCTCAGAGGTTAAGAGCACTCACTGACTGCTCTTCCAGAGGTCCTGAGTTCAATTTCCAGCTCCCACGTGGTAGCTAAAACTGTCTCTGACTCCAAGATCTGACACACTCACACAAACATACATGCAAGCAAAATGCCAATGCAAATGAAAATTTAAAAAGTAAATAATTAAATAAAACATATGTTGTTTTATTTTTAGCTAGGCATGCTGGCTCATCCCAGGAGACACAGGCAAGTGGTTGGTTCTCTGAGTTTGAGGACAACCTGGTTTCCTAATCAAGTTCCTGGACAACAAGGTCTATGTAAACCCTGTCTCAGAAAGATTTATTTCGTTTTTATGTGGGTATATGTGCACATGAGTGCAGATGCCCCTGGAGACCAGAGGTGTTGGCTGTTAAGTTCCTGGAGTTGGTGTCATAGCTGCCTGAAGTTGGTTCTGGGAACTGAACTTGGGTCCTGTGGAAGAACAGCACATACCTTTAACCCTGCTTAGCCACCTCAGTACCCCTCAGAAGCACTAGAAATTAGAACTCCTTAATTTATCTTGTTTGTGTTGGCCTGTGTGTCTGGTGTGCATTCAGGCCAGAAGGTGGCATCGAGTGCTAGGATTACAGGCATGCACCACTGCCCGGCTCAGCAAGTGTTCTTATCTGCTGAGTTGACTCTTGAGCCCCAAAGGAAAACTCGCAATGTCAAGATCAGCCTTCCCTTCCCGGTGGTTGAAATGTGGACTGTCTGCCGAGCGGCTGACTTTGCTCTGTCTTGAAGGCATCTGCAGAGGCATCGACATGGACCAGCGTCTGTATCACATCCTCACCCCTTTGCCTCCAGAAGAGTTGAAAGCTGTGAACTGTCTGCTGGTTGGCGCCATTCCCATTCCACATTGTATTTTCAAGAAGCAGGTGAGCTGGCGGGGACAGTCCCGCGGGGACCATCGGAGGCAGGAGTGAGCCCATGGTGGCCATAGTCAAGGCAACAAGTTCTTCATCTGGGAGACTCACACTTGACTGTGTGGTTTGGGTGACCTAAGCTGGGATATTGAGTGCTCAAAAGGTTTCAGTCAGCATCTCAGTGTAGAGCCAAAAATAGGGGAAGGACGTGGAGGGCAGAGGTGGCTCTTCAGACTGGCCTCTGTGGACAGTCTTATGTGGGTGTGTTGTGAGACAAGGTCTCACTGTGGAGTCTTGGTTGACCTAATTTATAGACCAAGTTGGCTGCCCAAGTGGTGAGATTAAAGCTCACCGCCGTGCTCAGCGTGAACAATCTAAGGCCACTGGGAAGAGCACACGTGCTCACCGGCATAGGTGGAGGTCCTGGTGCTTAGCTCTTACAGATCTGGAAGCTGCACACACCATGCACTGTCCCTCAGAGTGTTTGGTTAGGGGGTCAGGGTAGCGGGTCAGGGTAGACAGATGGCATCCAGGCTTGTCCAAGGTATATCTGGTCAGATACACATAAAACCATGTCAATGAACATATATACTCATATATTTGCTTTGTTTGTTTCTGGGTTTTTTTTTTCCCAAGCCTTGAAATCATCTGCCTACCTTTGCCTCTGGAGTGCTAGGATTAAAGGCGTGCACCACCACTGCCCAGCTGAGGCAGATGAAGTTTTGTGTTTGAGGCCAGTCTGGTCTACAGACTGAGATCTAGAACAGCCAAAACTACATAGAGAAGTCCTGTCTCAAAAATCCATATTCACCAGGCAGTATTGGTTCAGGCCTTTAGTCCCAGCAGTTAGAAGGCAGAAAGCCTGCCTGCCTGCCTGCCTGCCTGCCTGCCTGCCTTCCTTTCCCCCAGACAGAGTCTGTCTGTGTAGCTCTTAACTGTCCTGAACTAGCTCTATAGATCAGGCTGGCCTCTAAATCATCTGCCTACCTCTGCCTCCCAAGTGCTGGGATTAAAGGCGTGTGCCACCAACGCCCAGCTGTATATTTTTACATTGAAAAAAAAAAAAGGCCTTTTGAGGAGCATCCTAAGTGTCTTGGGACCCAGAGACCTGCTTTGCAGCTGCTCTGTATTGGCTTCCGGTCGGGAGAGCCCTCTGTTCCTCGAGGCTGTCCAGACTGGTCTCTATGATGTTTCTTTGTGTTTCCATTTCAGCCTGGGCCCGAAGGGACAATTCCTTACGTGACCACAGATTATAACTTAAAACTTCCTGGAGCATCAGAGAAGATTGGAGACAGAGAGTATGAACATTCATTCCTTGGATACAAATCCTATAAGAGAAAATAAAGCCTCAATAGGATGGACAGAGGCTCCTTGTCCTCAAGCCCAGAGTCGGCAGCCTCAGCGGGGCTTCGTGGCTGAGAACAAAGTCAGGACCAGTTTCATGGGACTGGAAAATGTGCTGAGAGCAGACAGCTCCAGACTCCGGTTTTCTTTTCCCTCTAAGACACCTTGAAGCTCACACTCGGGGTCTTCCTGTCTCCGTCACCCAAGTGTGGCGTTACCATTACAGGCCTGTGTCTTCACACCCAGCTTTCAGGCTTTTCTCTGCAGTTGTTTAATGCAAACTTGGCCTCTTTGTGACTAGCCCTCCTGGGTGAGCGGAGTGTGTCCTGAAGAGCCGTGAAGCAGTGAGGACAGCTGTGCCCCCTGACCAGATGGGACTAGCACGACCTCTCAGTTCCAGAAGGACCTGACTATTGGAATCAAAATAAAATTAGGGAATCTGGAGCCACAGAAAAATGTGCCAAGAAACAAGGCAACAGGCTGACCCTCCCAGCGCTCAGGCTCAGTGCACAGGCTGCTCGGGTCCTGAGGAAGCTGAGGGGACCTGAGTGAGAGTCGTCGCATGGTCCTGACCATTTAGGTGACTCACATGCCTGATCCCTTGATGCCATTGACTCCCAATCGTGTAGTCAAGTGTTAGCAGATTGTGTTTGCTCTTTTAGCTTTTTGGTCATTTTAATCATGAGACTTTTGTGTTGAAGAAGCTGCTCTGACATCCAGAGAGCCTCCAGACTGTTCCTACGGCCAGTGTTTGCTCTGACTGACTCCTCCGTTGAGGCTGGACACATTGCCACGGGTCCACCAGTCTGTGCACAGACATATTTGTGCCTGGCTTGGGCAAATCTCTGCTACCAGCGCTTTCTTCTGGGGACCTAGAGGCCACTGCAGGTGCCATTTTTTTTTTTCCAGTGGATTTTGTAATTAGAAGTGACTGGGTCAGACCCTTTTTGTGCTTGAGAGACCAGCCACTGAGGAACTTCTCAGGTTGGCATGACCGACACGTCAGGACTCCACCTCCCAGTGGGATCATGTTCGAGGCTGTGGAAGGTTGAGTCTTCGTGTTCACATACACCACCTTGTCTGTAACCACCTCAGTGTGCCCCATGTTGTCTGCTTGGCCCAGTCTGTGTGACTCTTCATGGTGGCCTCAGCATCTGAAGACCCCATCACGAGAGAGAGAACTGCAGCAGCCTGTTTGGTCTGAAGCCCTGTAGACCACTGAAGGACTCACTCACCAGCTGTTCCTTATTTATATCTCGTGTTACCTTGTGTTGTCTCTGTCTGGTGGGGAAGGGTCTCCTCTCCCTGAGGTGTGACTGTCTGTGCCATCATTGGTCTGCATCCCCCACATCTTCCTGTCTTTTCCAGAATAAAGGTCCTGAAACGCAGTCTCCATTTGCATTTTCCGTAAAGGTGTGCTTTTAGCCGACCTTCACCTGGAGGGTTCCCTGTCAGCCGTAGAGGGAACCGTAGGATTGTACTGGGGGCTGAAGGAGCAGTCATTTGGAACAAGATTCCTGGAGGGAGGTCTCGCTGTGGAACCCTGGCTTTGCAAATGTCCATGTGATTATGGGTGGTTGGGGCAAGGAAGAGATGGCATGGAGGGCCGTCTTTCTGGGGGTTTCTGTTTTGAGACAGGATCTTGCTATGAGCAGGCTGACCTCAGACTCACGCACTATTCTGCCTCAGTTTCCCAAGTCCTGGGATCATTAGCGTGTTTGTGTGTTGTTTTGTTTAGGTTTATTTATTTAGATTGTTCTGGTCCATTAGAATAACATACACTTGTTACACTACAGAACCATGCAACAGCAAACACCCAAGTTGCCAGTTTTTATGGCTCCTTAAAATAAGACTCTGAAGCTAGGCATTGGTGGCGCATGCCTTTAATCCCAGCACTCAGAAGACAGAGACTGGCAGATCTCTGTGAGTTGAGGCCAGCCTGGTCTACAAGAGCTAGTTCCAGGACAGCCTCCAAAGCCACAGAGAAACCCTGTCTCGGGGAAAGAAAAAAAAAAGACGTTAGTTATTTCCTAGACAAAGATGACCCTGTGTCCCTTAGTGCTGTCCTGCAGAGGCCATTGGTAATTCAAGACCCAAAAAAGTGACACTAATGAAGAGGCCATGGCCACACGCCCAGTACCTTGAGTTGACGTACTCTTCCAGAGTCTGGGCAGAGCTGAGTGGGGAAAGAGGCCAGCCTGAGGGAGGCTGTGTCCTGCACTGGACCTCTTGAATAAGAACTTGTGACTTGGGGTTCTGCCTGGTCTGCAGCGTGGAAATCAAATGATCTAGGTGAAGGACCCCTTTTAACGTACTACATGAGAGACCTGCTGGCTGGACCTAAACGCTGGGGTACCTCAGGGTACCTCAGCCCCTCCAGCTGGTGGTTTCCTTTTTTTCTATTTCCTATTCATCTTTTTCTCTTCACTCTCCCACCCCATAGCATCTTACTCTTAGCCCAGGCTAGCCTAGAAATCACTGTAGCCCAGGCTGACTGACGTTGCACTGGTCTGCTGCTGCAGCTTCCCAAGTGCTGAGAACCCAGGTGCGAGCCTCTTCTGACCTGGTAATGATTTTTCTTCCACTAGATTCATTCGATTTGGATGGCAGCGTAATGGTGGAGACAGCATGCTGTAATGTTGGATCTGAGGGGGAGTCTAGCCTGGGTCTGTTTCTTTCTCCATGGTGGGGTGGGGAGGACAATGGGATTGCTTATAAAAGGCCCTGCCAAGAAGTAGAAAATGGTGGTGACTCTGGGCGGCCTTTAATCCCAGAGGCAGGTGGATCTCTGTGAGTTCGAGACCAAGAGCTAGTTCCAGGGCAGCCTCTAAAGCCACAAATGCTGTCTTGAAAAACAAAACAAGGGGGCTGGAGAGATGGCTCAGAGTTTAAGAGCACTGACTCCTCTTCCAGAGGTCATGAGTTCAATTCCCAGCAACCACATGGTGGCTCACAACCATCTACAATTTAATCTGGTGCTCTCTTTTGGCATGTAGGCAGAACACTGTATATGTAATAAATAAATAAATCTTTAAAAAAAAAAAAGAAAAACAAAACAAAAAATGATGGTGACTCCTCTTGAGTAGCCTGTCTCTGTCAGTTATAAACCCTTGGAAGGTGAGCATCAAGGTTTTGCCCCTCCTGAAGGCTGGGAGTGGTGTAGACTTAAATGTCTGTGCATAACTCCTTCCCTGTCGAGCCAAGCATGGTGGTGCACGCCTTAATCCCAGCACTTGGGAGGCAGAGGCAGGCAGATCTCTGTGAGTTCAAGACCAGCCTGGTCTACAGATCGAGTTCCAGGGCAGCCTCCAAAGCCACAGAGAAACCCTGTCTCAGAAAAAACTCCTTCCCTGTCCCTTCCCTTGAGTTCAATTCTGTTGCCATGTGTCTTTGTGAAAGTGTACCACTTAGGCAGGTCTTGGTTACTAGTGACGAACCAGGTCCTCGAAAGTCCCGACTATTGCTTTTAGAGTTAATTGTCTATGCCGGTGTGGAAACACAGCCCTTGAGTGCCTGTGGCATCGGTGGTGGCCCTGTGACTCCCGTGAGCTTCACACCTGGCTCTGTGAGTTCAAAATTCACAAAAGTCATTTCCCAGTGTGTGCCTTCACCGTCTCCCATTTACCATGATTTGTGTAATTTCAGGGTGTAAGATTTTTTCCCCAGGCATGTATTTATTTTTGTTGCTACTGTTGTTTTGAGAGTTTCTCTGTGTAACTCTAGCTGGCCTTGAACTCAGAGACCCACCTGCCTCTGCCTCCCGAGCTCTGGGATCAAAGGCATGTGCTACCACCTCTCGGCTTGAGTGCACAGTTTTATTTTGTGTTTTTTTTTTTAATGCAAACGGTGAACCCTAAACTGGTGTCTGCGCAAGAGATGCCTCAGTGAGAATGCAGCCCAGCTCAGGGCACCTCTGGTTTCCCCTGACCTGGTGTGGCCTAGCAAAAGAGAACCAGACTTTGCTGACGAGTCCAGCTTCAACGGCAGCTAAAATAAATAAGGGGGCCATCTGCGCTGAGGGGGAGAACCCGTGTGACCTACAGGGCCTCTTTGGAAAGGCCTTGCACAATTAAATGCCCGCAGGCTTTGCCAGGAAAGAGCAGCTGGAGAAGGGCAAGGTCGCATAAACGAGATGCACCCAGGCATGGGGTGAGCCTGCACCGCACAGGCCAGAGCGGAGTCAGCACAGCCCAATTCCAGCAGACAGAGCCGAACTGGACAGACCAGGGTCTAATCTGGGAAGCCTGGGGTTGCCATGGTTTCCAGCCCCATGTCATGAGGACGGCCAACAGTCACTGGCTAGAGTTTTTTTCCTAACACCTTTGAACTTGCTCAGATTCTGGGGTGTGTGACCAGCTCTGCCAAGTAGAAAGAAGATACCTGACCTCTCAGGCCCTTCCCACCAAGCAGCCCAGCAGGGAGTCTGCTGCTGGCCTGGGGGTAGAGGCAGGGGGGGGGGAAGGTCTCCCTGCTATTGCTTTCTAGGAAAGGGGGGTGGGGTGGGGTAGCCCCACGTAAGCTCTGGAGTCCACATATTAAAAAACTTCAAATACACTGTGCCCCGGAGACCGGGGACTGAAGGAAGCAGGGCCGAGAGCGCTGAGGTCTTTCTGTGACAGAGTCCCCTGGAGAAGTTGAGACTGTGTGAAAGAGAGGCCCTCGAGCGTTGGGACAGCAGCTACAGTGAGGTCTCGTGGTAGAGGGTCCAGCAAAGCACCACCTCAGTCCCGGCGAAGCCTGGACTTCCACCTTGCTGCTGACTCTGCCTTCACTCAAAAAACTGGTGAGTCTGTTTCTCTGTCTACGAAGAAGGGTTGAGGGAGTGGAGTGAGGAGAAGCAGGTCCCAGAGGGCCCACCAAAACCCACGCTTGCACCTTTAATCCCAGCCAGATGGGTCTCTGAGTTGGCGGCCAGCCTGGTCTACAGATCGAGATCCAGGACAGCCAAGAAACCCTGTCTCGAGAAACCAAAGCAGGGCAGGCGTTCCCTCACGCTATTCCCCAGGCATCTCTCTTCATCTGCTCCCGTCACCGGTGTGCCATGGCTCTCGGCTGAGGGGTGTGTGCAGCTGCCACAGGACCTGACCTCATGCTTCTAGAACCTGCAGTTTCTGAGCGCTCTGATTAGCAGGTGTGACGCGGCACCCTCAGTTACGGAGGGAGCTTGTAACAGCCTAGACCGTGTAGGCAAAGAACCTGTGTGATATCAGCCTCTGACTCGGTAGGCAACATTTTTACTGTCCAAGATAGTCACAGTGGCTGTCACCCAGAATGTCTGTGGGAAAGGTTTTAGTCCCCGTCTGAAAATTGTAGTAACTCAAGGGTTTAGTTTTTTTGTTGTTGTTGAAACAGGGTCTGGTGTAGCCTAGACTGGCCTTGAAGTCACTTTGTAGTTAAGGCTGGCCTTGAACTCCTGATCTTCCAATCTCACCTCCCAAGTTGTGAGCCATCTGCTGTGGGTGCTGAGAACACACCTCAGGTCTTCTGGTTCTCACAGGCGCTTTTAACTGCCCTCTCTCCAGTCACCCCACGCCCACTTTTCTTTTTTTTTTTTTTTTTTTTTTTTTTTTTGGTTTTTCGAGACAGGGTTTCCCTGTGGCTTTGGAGGCTGTCCTGGAACTCGCTTGGTAGTCCAGGCTGGTCTTGAACTCACAGAGATCCGCCTGCCTCTGCCTCCCGCCACGCTCACTTTTCTGAGACGGGGTGGAACCTTGGTTGACCTGGAACCGATGTGTAAACAAGTCTGCCCTCAACTTCATGGAGATCGGCCTGCCTCTGTCTCCTGGTTTACCTTCCAGTGGACTCTTGGGGCTGAGGGACCAAATGCCTTACCTAATAGATTAAGGTCAACTTGTAAATAATTAAAAGGTTTTTTTTTTGAGACAGGGTCTTACTATGTAACAGCCCTGGCTGGCCTAAAACTCTATTAGTTCTACAATATTAAAAGCCTGTGTTGCCGGGCGTTGGTGGCGCACGCCTTTAATCCCAGCACTCGGGAGGCAGAGGCAGGCGGATCTCTGTAAGTTCGAGACCAGCCTGGACTACCAAGCGAGTTCCAGGACAGCCTCCAAAGCAATACAGACAAACCCTGTTTCGAAAAAAAAACAAAAACAAAACAAAACAAAAGAAGAGAGAAGAAAAAAATAATAAAAGTCGCAGACACCCTCTTCTGGTAGCCCCCATTGGCACATGACCACTCAGAATATCAGGATAAGAAAGAAAAGGCCCTTAGGGGCAAGGGCCCCTTTTCTGGCTTCACTCTTCCCGTCCCCATTCCATGGGTCTCCTTGAGGCTCCTAGTACAGTGACCAGCCTCCACTTGAAAACCGAAAGTCCTGTGTTCAGGGACTGGAAGAGCTGGTCATCTTAGCTCAGCCACAAGGCATGTTGTTGTCCCAGGGCCTCTGGCCCTGCTGCTATCTGCCCGTGTGCATGGTCAGAGAGATCCCTCATCGTCCCATGCCCTGCTGAAGTCTCCTGGACAGAGGACAAGTCTGAAATAGCATACCCTGTCCCCTTTCTCAAGGCTAAGTGATCATGGGAGAGCGTCCTGCATGGGAGGCATCCCTGGACAGTCACCCACTGCAGCGCCAAGCCAGACCAAACTACAAGTTGCCTCTGCGGCCAACGGGAAAGCATGGCCTGGGTCAGAGACAGCCTGGTTTGTGCTGGGCACATCCACCAGAGAATGACGGTCATTGCCAACCAACAGGGCCAGTGTTCCAACAATTGGTTAGATGTTTTGAAATCCCAGCTGTCCCAGGAGTCCGACCTCTCTCTGTTGTCAGAGACTGGCCTAGAAGCCTTTGTTCCCAGGACAGACGCAGCCTCCAGAGGGCTCAGCCTTTTCAGTCTGTCTGGCCAGGTTTGAAAGTCTGTGTGGCCAGCAGCCGGGATTCACTGGAATGTGGCCATTCTGTTGTTGCCATAGGCTTCTGGAAACCTAGGTTTCTCCTCACCCAGCCGATTCAGGCAGTCAGCTGGCTGGACAGCTGGGACAGAAGGCAGCTGTCAACTCTGTCCTACCAAGTGTCCAGGGTCTCCTTCGGAAGGTTAGGGAGGCTGCCACCTCACCCACACAGGTGAGGGGTTGGAAGTCAGTGCCTGACTAAGGACAGTTAACTAAAGTGACTCAAGTTCCGGTCAATGAGAACATTCCTGGCACCGACAACTCTGGGCCAGACTGGCCACGGACTCCACATCCAGAGAAAGAATCCAGGCGCTAACTGGGGGTAGGGTGGGCCTCCAATTCCAGAAAAAGCAGGAAGGATCCTCCCACTATTGACTTGGAGGAGGAGCCTGAAGGGCAGGTCCTGGGGTCCGAGTGGCCACCTCTGGGCATGTGACCACACCCCCGGCAGGAAAGAGCAGGATTGTAGTCAGAGAGGCAACAAGTTCAGGTTTGCATTCTGTCTGTCCTGTGTTTGTTGGTTACGGTTTGTAAATCCTCCATGTCACCCAGACACTGAACGTGACAGCCAATCGTGTGATTTAACTCACTGAGTCCCCAGAGTCTCCCGAGAGGCACAACTGTAAATCCCCTATAGAGGCGAGAAAGCTAAGGCCCAGAGAGGTTGAGCCTCTTGCCCAAGATGGCACAGCCAGCAGGAATTTCAGTCCAGACCCCTGGGAGAGATGACAAGACTGAGTCTGGGGTCCGTGGCCCCACAGGGGTGGCTTGAGCCTGGGCCGGGGCAGGACCGAACACTGAGACATTCTGGGAGCAGAGAATGGTGTGGGCAGCTGGCGTGTGGCCAGCAGCCCCAGGCTGCACTTGTCCCCGGGCTGTGGTGGGCGTATGGGTGGGCGACAATGGTGAAGCCGGCTACGGGACAATGACTGGGTCTCCCAGCAGAGTGGGAGGCCCCTGGGACCTCCTGGCTCTAAGAGGCCTGTGACTGGCACTGCCCCCACACTATTGAGGGTCCAGAGAAGACCCCCCGTTTTGAGGCCCGTCCATAGTTAAGTGGCTATTAGGTCAGGGAGGATTTTTTGAAGCTTGAAGAGCCTAAGGCAGGACAGATCCAGGGAAGAGGCTGACTGGGGTCTGAGGCTCAGGGGTTGGGGAGGGGCTGGGACCTGGCTGAGGCTGCAGAGATGGGCTGGTTACCCGTCAGAATTAATGCTGAGGGGAGGGAGATATGCCGCCCACACTGGGCTCTGCCATTCAACCCTCCTGCAGGAACCAATGCAGGGCACACTGCTCCCGACCAGGGGATTGGCGTCTGTGGCCCAGGCCCTTGCCAGGGGTCACCAGAGAACACTGGCGCCTTGACACATGCTTCCAGAAGGTGGGGCAGTTCTCCTGTTTACCTGGAGCAGAAGTCTGGTTGGAGGTTGGGGAGGGGAGCAAGCCAAAGCAGGAGAGCCAGAGGGCTGGGAAGAAGCCAGCATCCGTCCCTGCCAGGTTATATAACAGCACCCTGATGCAGCTTAATTTGAACAGGCTCTGTGGCAGACCTGAAAGGGGCCACCTCACTCGCACCGCACGTGAGCTGGGCAGCTGGCATACAGCTGGCTCTGCTCAGCTGTCCTGGCATGCAGAGGAGCCTCAGACACCGGGAAGAAAGAAACATTGGTCACCTGCCCCTGGGCATCCTAGAGCACCACAAGGGGTCACAGTGAGCCTTACCTGGTAAGAGAGAGACATGGAGCCCCCTTAGTGGGAGAAGAAAAAAACCCACCTCTGGGGCTAGAGAGACGGCTCAGAAGTTAACAGCATTTGTTGCTTTTGCGGAGGACCTGGGTTCAATTCCCAGAACCCACACGGTCACACACAACTGTCTGCATCTCCAGTTCCAGGCATTGATATCTGTCACTGATGGTGCCCAGACATTCATGCAGGCAAAATGCTCATGTATAAATCTTTTTTAAAAAATCCCCAAGTTGTTATTCCCTCCAGGTCAGCACTATCCCTCTGGCTGAGTCCCTGCATGGCCTTGTGAGTGAGGGGTCTCTCCTGCCACCACTGCAGAGGCAGGTAATGGCTCCCTGGTCCCATTTTTAAAAGACACGCGCACACACAAACACAATATTCAACTCTTTTTTTTTTTTTTTTTTTGGTTTCTCTGTGGCTTTGGAGGCTGTCCTGGAACTCACTTTGTAGACCAGGCTGGCCTCGAACTCACAGAGATCCACCTGCCTCTGCCTCCCAAGTGCTGGGATTAAAGGCGTGCGCCACCAACGCCCGGCCTCAATATTCAACTCTTAAACCCTAGTGCTCTGAACCCATTTTGCAGATGTAGATTCTGAGACTCCAAGACCCACCAGCTACTGCAGCAGGGGGCAGGACTCAGAGCCAAGCCCAACTCAAAGAGACTTGCCTTCCGTGGCCCAGCGCTAAGGGTCATCATCAGAGTAACTGAAGGCTAAGGTACGGTAAGTGCTCCCGAGGACTCCATGGTCTCATTCACCAAAGGCAGTGCAGAGTCACTTCCTGGGTGCATCGGCCAGCTCTGACCACCTGCGTCTCTTCCTCTTTTGACCCCTTACTCAGCAAGACCTTGCAGTGGTCCCCTGTCCAGGCCCTCAGAAGGCACTTCCGCCCCTAAGGAAACAGCTGTGGCTGGCAGAGGGCTCAACCTCTCCCCAGGGCGAGGCCACCACCAGACACTGGAGTCTCCAAACCCCTGGACGTCTGGCTCCTGGGCCAGCCCGTTTCTCACTGGAACTCAGCAGGGTCTAAAAGTCTGGACAAGGGCCAAACCTTGGTCCCAAGGTTCCCAGTCCCAGGAGGCCCAAGTAGAGAGTACTGGCTGACTGGTCTACACTCCGTGTGGATAGAGAGGTACCTAGAACCCCGAGTGTGAGGTAAGCCTTCAGGGCCACCCGACTGGCTCTGGTCCCTAGCTCTGTATACCTCGGTGACCAAGAGGGCTCTGTGGGTGGGTGAGGTTGGATGATGAGAGCCACCCCTGGCTCAGAACAGTGTGTCTCAACTGCGGGAATGGCGCTGGGGGTCTGCCAGGGCTCTTCTCTCTCTCCCTAGCACCATGCGGCACCTGGGCAAGTTACCACCAGAGCCATCAGCATCTCCATCTCTATCCTGGACATGGGGTGGGGACTAAAGGAGAAACGGATGAATTAGCGTTCGGTGTGGCACCAGGCCCTGGGAGCATCTATCATTACGCTTGCCCCCGCGTCTGTTAAGGCATGAAGTCCCTGGACAAGGCCCAGGTGTCCGGCAGCTTCTGACCGTAGCTGTTTCGCAGTCACATTGGCTAAGGCTTTGTCCACGGCACTGGTGGCTGTTTCTTTAGGCGTGGGGAGTCGGTCCTGGTCCACTGAGGGGGTCTCCTGCTCTCTTGCGGGGAGAGGTGAGCCAGGGACGCAGAGTGGGTGTGAGCGCAGACACAAGTATGAAAAATCGGGAGGGCCACTGGGCTTGGGGGCGGTGAGCGTGTGTGCATGGGGAGTTAGAACCCAAGCACGGGAGACTGCCCCACGCCTGTGCACCAGCAGCCCAGGACACTGACCTCTCGGGTGGGTGCCCTCCAGTTGGATTCAGGACCCTGTATTTAGTCTGTAGATAGGTAGGAAGAAAGCTGCTCCCCACTCGGTAGACCTGCCCTAGGGCTGGCTACTCTGAAACCAGAGGCAGGCATGGTTCCTACCCAGCCCAGCTCCTAGATCTGCAGCTCTGGCCTCTACCGGAGCGGGTGCTGATGGATGCCGGACAGCCTCATTCCTGAATGCCCAGACCTACACCGAACTGAACATGAACCAGGACACCCCCAGCATCCCACAGCCTCATGTCCAGTCCACACCGACGGCTGTGATCAGGGCTCAGGGCCCGTGAAGCTAGACGTGAGAGAGGCAGGCAGGCAGGCATGGGCTTCAAATTATTCCAGCTGCCTCTCGGCACCTTGGCCCTCAGCTGGGGATGTGCAGCCCGCCTGGATGGCCACTTCTACCATTCCCCAGCCCCCGACAGCCTGGGGTGACCCTTCTACCACCCTTAGGAAAGCAGCCAGCCCCCTCTGCCTGTGTCCCTCTGTCTCAGACATCAGATCTGGTTGGGTGGGCGCTGCCTGACCCAGGCCAGCACCATAAACCTGGCAGGCTGAGGAGGCACGAGCAGAGTCAGCAGAGAATGGCTGGGAGTCCAACGCAGGGTGCCTCTACCACACGGACATCTGGATGTCTTTCTTTCCTTCCCCCTTTGTAGTGCTCAGGATTAGACCCAAGGCCTCATTCGGGCTAGCACCCCACCACTGAGCTCGGTCTAACCTCACACCACCGCTGTGCTGTACCCTCAACTTTTCATTTTGTATTTGAGCATGTGTGTGGAGGGGAGTCTCACATAGCCTTTAACTTGCTCTGTAACCGAGGGTGACATTACACTTCTGACCCTCCCAAGGCTGGGATTAAAGGCAGGAGCTGCCGCGCCCAGTTTATACAATAATGGAAGTCAAGCTTACGGTTTCGTACCCAATGGGCCATCACTCCCTGCCAACTGAACTGTATATTTCAACTCCTTCTACTTTTTTAAATTTTTTTTTATTTTGCAACTGGGCCTCACTAAGTTGCCCAGGCTGGTCTGAACTTGGGGTCCTCCTCTTCCTCAGTTTCCTGAATAGCTGGGGTTACAGACCTGTGCCTCCAGGCCCACAACAAGTCTGGATTTTTTTTCTTTCTTTCTTTGGTTTTTCGAGACAGGGTTTCTCTGTATTGTTTTGGAGGCTGTCCTGGAACTCGCTCTGTAGACCAGGCTGCCCTCGAACTCACAGAGATCCGCCTGCCTCTGCCTCCCCAGTGCTGGGCTTAAAGGCGTGCGCCACCACCGCCCGGCTGTTGGTATTTTTTTGAGACAGGGTCTTCTCATGCAGTCCCAGTTGACCAGGGTCTCTGGGTTCTCCTACCCCAGCCTCCCGACTTCTGGGATTTCAGACTTGAGCGTCCATCCATGTTCAGTTTTGTTGTTGCTAAGACAAGGTCAGGCCTGGAATTTTCTATTTTCCAACCTTTGCTGTGTGTTCTTCACTCACCCAAGGGTTCCTGTCACCCCAGGCTATACACATGGGACCTGGCCCTACCCCTCCTCCCTTGGTGCTTTTCCTTGGTAGCTCTGTACCCCTAGCCCTCAGTTTCCCTTGCTCTTCTCAGGGCTTACTCTGGGGCCTGTGCTGCAGAGAACAGTGAGGCTCCCTGATGACACTAGGGGTCCTTGGCCTAGGCTCAACCACCCAAGGCTCATCCCTGTCTGTGGGTCACAGGCTGAGGAAGGAGATGCTAACTGGGCAGCCTGGTGAAGGGTGAAGAGAAACTCAGGAAGAGCCCAGCCAGCATAGCTGGCCTCAGAAGTGGGTGAGGGCTTGTGCCCTTTGACAACCTGGAAGCCCTCAGATCAACAGAGTTGGGAGATACTCTCAGTGTCCCCTGGCATTCCCACAGGTGCCTTCACCCCTCATTGAGGACCTGTGAGCCAGCTGAGGCTGTTCCGGGTCACAGGTCACGGTGGAGACCCGGAATTGCTCCCCGGGGCAGCACATTTTTCTCCTCTGAAAACTTATCTTTGCAAAGAGACCAGGAAACAATTGTACTTTTTTTCCAGGCCTCCGCATCCCCAGACGGACGGCCCATCTCCACGGCGGGGGCTCTGAGGGGGCTGGGAAGGCAAAATGTGTAAAATGTCTGTAGGAGGGGAAGAAAGGCGCTTTGTGTGGGGCAGGGGCCCTGGCCATTGGTCAGATGTAAGGCCCTCGGCCACTCCCAGAATGCTCCTTTCTCTCCTTGGGGCAGGGGGGCATTATTGTCAGCCCAAAGCCTGCCTCTCTGCACCCCAGCACCACTGTGTCCGGGTCTTGGGGACTGAGGTCCCTGGAGCCACCCAACTTCTGAAGGTGCGGGCCAGGCGGGGGCACCCCAGGTCTCAACATGTTTCTCTACTGGAGGAAGCGGGGTGCCTATGAGCTGGAGACCCTGCCTGGTGACCTGGACCGGCTGGAGCTGGGGGCTTTGGAGCGCTTTTCCTGGAGCTCGGCTCTGGACATCATCGAGGACTTGGGGGGTAGGTGCAGCCATTTCCCAGAGGACTTTGAGGAGGTGTGGGCTCCTGGTCTGTCTGGCCGCTCCTGCCGGCCAAAGCCTGTGGCCGGCTTGCCATGCGTGTGTTCCCATACATGCACGCCATGCTTGTGGTGCTGTGGGGTCCCTAGCCCCTCTGGAGAGCCACTGCAGGAGGGACAGGTGCCCAAACATGATGTCCAGAGGGTAATGAGCGTGTCGGGGTGCTCTCATCCTGCCAAGTGACCTGTGAGGCATGCCTGCCCCTCGCTAATCTTGGAGAGCCCCAGCTGAAGACCAGTGGCAGCCGTGACCACCTGACCACCTGTCCTATTCCTCCAAGATGAGGCACGGGGCTGAGCTTTTCTGGAACATTGCTGATCTAATGTGAGGATATGGGTCATTTCCTGTATTATCCCCCATTTTACATGTGTGCAGGCAGAACCATGGTGAGATTGTGACCCTCAAGAGGCATGGTGAGCCGGGTGGTGGTGGCGCACGCCTTTAATCCCAGCACTCGGGAGGCAGAGGCAGGCGGATCTCTGTGAGTTCGAGGCCAGGCTAGACCGACAGCCTCCAAAACAGAGAAACCCTGTCTCGTAAAAAAACCAAAAAAAAAAAAAAAAAAAAAAAAAAAAAGAGGCATGGTGAAGTATTGGGGTGCTCAGCTCTGAGGCCCTGGCATAGTTGAGGACAGTGGTATCTCTGGCATTGTCATGAGAGGCTCAGAGCAATCCCTGGGGTGACTTGTCGGAACACCTCCCACAGTGGCAGGCAGATAGGGCCCAGTTTGGGCAGGCTATGATTGTTGTAATTGCTGGTCTCAGTTCAGCAGCGTTGGTTTGCTCTGGACTGGTTCCGTGGGCCTGACCCCTGTGATCCGCTGTGCCTGTTGCTGGAGAACAATCCAGGCCCACAGTAGCCAAGCCAAAAGCTGAGGGCCAGTTTACAGAGTGGCTGGGTCCCAGGCTGTGGTTTGCTTATTTCCAACCTCAAGCTCTGGCATCTCCAAGCCCCAAGCAAAGAGAAAGGGAGTCTCACCAGGGTCAGAAACCCTCCAGCTTGGCTGGAGTCCTTTCATGAGCCCGTCCGGTGGCCAGAGGGCTGGAGAAGGCTGGTTAGGCCTGGGGTCTGCCGTGAGAAGTTGGGGAGCCTTTGGAGCAGATGGGGAGATGAGAACAAGGACGAATGGATGCTTTGGAGCTTTGAAAAGCGCGTTGTTCAGTCCCCAGGTGTGGTGCTTTTGGGACTCGGGTGACTGCTGCAAGAAGACAGACAGGTTTCTTGGCCACTTAGGTCCCAGAGCTCTGGGCTCCATTAGAAGTGTGTGCAGGTGTCTTGAGGGAGAGTCGCTGCGCTGCCTTGGACATGGGTCCATGAGGAGCATGGAAAAGTGGCGGAGGAGAAAGGAGCAGGCGCCAAGATGGGAGAAACGCGTGGCTTGAATCCCAGCCGAGGGAAAAATGCCCCCTTCCCTGAGCCAGAGAACACCTGCGGTCGGTCGAGGGTGGGATGGAGCCACCGCAGGAGGCCACAATCTTCTCAGCTTTACCCAGTCTCAGCTACAAGCCAGGGAGGCTCAGTGGGAGTGCACTGAGCTTTGCGGTGGTCACAATGGCAACAGTTGCAGTGTGTAGAGCCCCATTCTCTCCAGGGTTCTCCGGTGTTCTTTACCCAGGGCGTCCTCTGGGGTTCCATGATGGCCATCTGCCTGCAGCTTTGGGGTCCCTCAGTCACACAGCCGCCCCCTCCCCCCTAGATAATATTCTCTCAGTGGGCATTAAGCCCTGGTCCTGAACCTTCAT